GGCCGGGCCGTGCCCGCGAGCCGCCAGCATGACGGGCCGCGTGTGCCGCGGCTGCGGCGGCACGGACATCGAGCTAGACTCGGCGCGCGGCGACGCCGTGTGCACCGGCTGCGGCTCGGTGCTCGAGGACAACATCATCGTGTCCGAGGTGCAGTTCGTGGAGAACAGCGGCGGCGGCTCGTCGGCCGTGGGCCAGTTCGTGTCTCTGGACGGTGGGTCCGAGGTCTAGGGGCGGGGGGAGCCGGGGGCCGCCTGCAGGTCGGCGTTCGGAAGTCCCCCCTGCAACCGGGGGAGCGACGTGAGGTGGCTGCGGGGGTCCTTTGCTTACGTCCTGTGAACTGGTCCACATTTCCACCCGGGTGCCCGCCGCCGAGAGCCGCCTCCCCACGTCCCCGGAGGCCGCGGAGCTGCGCCCCGTCCCCACTCGTGCTGTTGATGGTCCCGTACGTGGAACCAGACCGTTTGCTCCCGCAACTTCGGGGGGCGGGCGTCTCTCCCTCGGCCGCTGCCTCTGAGGTGCGCCCCGGCGGCGCGCTGTCGGTACCGAGTCGCGAACTCGGCTTGTTGAGGGACACTGGGTGGTGGCAGCTTGGGGTGGTTATGAATAGAGCCGCCAAAAACGGCGTGTGAAGCCTTTTATATGGACACACGCTTTCATTTCTCTAGGGTGGTTCCCAGGAGTGGGCTTGCTGGGTTTAACTTTCCCGCGGACTGTCATACTGGTGTCAGTGTGGCTGTGTCATTTTGCGTTCTCAGCAGTTGCTCCACATCTTCACCGCACTGGGTGTTGTCCACGTTTTCTTTTTTTTTTTTCCTCTTTTCTTTTTTAAAAAGGAGAGCACAGCTCCCAGTGGCCCATGCGGGGATCGAACCAGCAACGTTGGTGTTTGCAGCATTGTGCTCTAACCAACTGAGCTAACGCGGTATTCTGCCAGTGTTTTTCTTTTTGACAGTTCTAATATGTGTGCTGTGGCGCCTCAGGTGGTGAGAATTTGTATCTCCAGTTGGTTTTGAACAGCTTCTCCAGTGCTTATTGGCTGTCCCTTAATCCTCTTTGCTGAAATGCCTGTTCAAGTCTTTTGTTTATTTTTTATTTAGGTTGTTAGTTTTCTTACTGTTAAGTTTTGAGCATTCTTTAAATATTTTAGTTAAAAGTCCTTGGATATGCGATTGGCAGAGTAGAAATTAATATTTTGAGTAAAAGTTTTAATTTTTTTTTTAAGATTTTATTGGGGAATTGGGGGAAGGGGAACAGACAAGTTACTGTCCTTTTGTTCTTCAGTCTAGTTGTGGAGGATGTTGCTTCACTGGCTCATGTTGGTATTATCATTGCGCTCTTCCCGGGTGAGGCAGATCGGTTGCCGCTCACAGCTGCTCTTGGCAGCTCATGCCGACTGCTGGCCGCTCAGACTGCTGGCCGCTCACGGTAGCTCACCCAGCCCAATGCAGCCCTATTGCAGCCTACAGCGACTCACAGCAGCCCAGCTCCAGGTCGAGCTGTTGGTCACCATCTTAGCTGTAGAGGGCGCAGCGTCACTGGCCCTCATGTGGGATCTGAACCGGGGCCCTGCTGCTCAGAGCTGGCGTCCCAAGCCAACTCTTAACCAACGCACCACTCGGCCAGCCCTAAATGTTTTAAATTTTGATGCAGTCCAGTTTATCGATTTTTTTCTTTCATAGATTGTACTTTTTGTGCATGTCCAAGAAATCTTCTGACCATAGGTTGCCATATTTTTCTTCGGATTCTTTTGTTATACCTTTAGCTCTGTGACCATTTTGAGTTTAACTTTTACATAAGTCTGCTGTGTATTGGAGGCTCATTTTTTGCAGGTGGATGTCCAGTTGTTCCAGCACCATATGTCGTGAGACTGTCCTTTCTGGAGTTGCCTCTCCTGCTTTGGCGGAGGTCACTGGCCCTGTTTGTGTGGGTCTGTTTGTGGGCCCTCTATTCTTTTATTATTTTTAAAATTTTTTTTAGCCGAGCCATCCTGCCACCTGTTGGCAGCTCAGCGGCAGCTCAGCTCGGGAATTGAACCAGCAACCCTGTTGCTCAGAGCTCACACTCTTGAGCGAGCTCTTAACTAACTGAGCCACTCGGCTGGCCTCTGGGCCCTCTATTCTATTCCCTTGATCCCAGTGCCATCCTTTGTCTACATCACACTCTCTAGTCTACTGTACATTTATTGTAAGTCTTGGAATCACGTGTTGTGAGTCCTCCAACTTTGCTCTTCCTTTTCAAAATTGTTTTAGCTATGGTAGTTCCTTTCTCTTTCCATTAAATTTTAGAATAAGTTTGTATATTTACCCAAAAAAATGTTGGTGAGGTTTTGATTGGAACTGCGTTAAATCTCTTGATAAATTTGGGGCGATTTGACATTTTTACTATATCGTATCTTCCAATCCATGAACACAGTATGTCTCTCCGCACGTTTAGGTTTTCTTTGCTATCTTTCCTCAGTGTTTTGTAGTTTTCAGCATATAGCTCCTGTACAATTTTTAGATGTATGCCCAAGATCCAAACAGAACTATTGTAAATGATATATATGTATATTTTAAAGATTTTGTTGGCGAATTGTGGAAGGGGAACAGTGTTGGGGAATTGGGGAAGGGGAACAGCCAAGTTGTTGTCCTTCAGTCTTAGTTGTGGAGGGTGCAGCTAGCTCAGCTCCAAGTCCATTCGCCATCCGGCCACCTGTAGGCAGCTCGTGGCCACTCAGCTCAAGGTGCTGTGTTCAATCTTAGTTGCGGAGGGTGGGGGGGGGGTGGGTCATAGCCCACCATCCCATGCAGGAGTGGAACTGGCAACCTTGTAGCTCAGCTTGGGTGCAGCTCACTGGCCCATGTGGGAATTGAACCCGTGACCCTGTTGCTCAGAGCTTGCATTCTTAACCAACTGAGCCATTCTGCCAGCCCCGTAAATGATAATTTTTAAAAATTTAGTTTTTGGTTGTTCATTGTTAGTATATAGAAATATGCTTGATTTCTGTTGTTGGCCTGTTTCCTGTGACCTTGCTAAACTTATTAGTTCTAGGAGTTTTTTTTTTTTTTAAAGATTTTTATTGGGGAATTGGGGGGATGGGAACAGTGCTGGGGAATGGGGGAAGGGGAACAGACAAGTTGCTGTTCTTTTGTTCTTCAGTCTAGTTGTGGAGGACGTTGCTTCACTGGCCCAAGTTGGCACCATCATTGCGCTCTTCCCGGGTGAGGCAGATCAGTCGCCGGCTTCTGGACGGCCGCTCACTGCAGCTGCTGGCTGCTCACGCCGGCTGCTGGCTACACACGGTAGCCCGTGGCAACCCACTGCCACAGGGGCTGCAGCCCACGCCGTCGCCGGCGACTCACGGCAGCCCAGCTCCAGGTTGAGCTGTTGTTCAGCATCTTAGCTGTGGAGGGCAGTGTCACTGGCCCTCACATGTGGGATCTGAACCGGGGCCCTCTGGCATCCCAAGCCAGTCCTTAACCATCGCACCACTCGGCCAGCCCTGTTCTAGGAGTTTTTAAAATAGATTCCTTTGGATTGTCTATGTAGACACTCATGCTCTCGATAAATAGGGGCTGTTTTATTTCTTCCTTTTGTTTCTCTTTCTCGCCTTAGAGCAGACATGTCCTCCTTCTTCTCAATCTTAGGGGAGAACATTCAGTCTCTTCTCACTCATTGTATTAGTAATGTTAGCTGTAGGTTTTTGGTACCTATTGTTTATAAAGTTGTTTCCTTTCTACTCCTAGTTTGCTGAGAGTTTTTATCACAAATGAGTGTTGAATTTTGTCGTATGCTTTTTCTGTATCAACTGATAAATCATGTTTTTCTTCTTTAATATGCCAATATGGCTGACTTTTGAATGTCGAACCTGCCTTGCATTCCGGGTAAACTCACTTGGTCATGAGTGTTATTCTGTGTATGGGTTGCTGGATTAGATTTGCTAATATTGAGGAGTTTTATGTTTATGTTCATGTTGAATATTGATCTGTAGTTTTCTTGTAATGTCTTTGTCTGGTTTTGATATCAGGGTCATGGGCTTCATGGAATGAGTTGGGTAATTTTACCTTCTCTTCTGTTTTCTGGAAAAGATTGTATGGAATTTGTGTTATCTTCCTTGAATGTTTGGTGGAATTCTTCAGTGTAGTCATCTGGGCCTGGAGGTTTCTTGTTCAGGAGGTTTTTAACCCTCCATCAAGCACTACTGATCTCACAGCTTCCTTGCACACAAAGATGCTGCCTATGAAATATGTCTTTACTGTACTAAGTCACAAACACGACTGGCGATAGGTTACAGTAGAGGGGGAAGATACGGAAGTGATGAGTCATGATACTTAAGTTAACTGTTAGATATTTGAAAATTTTTGTGCAATGAATCTGTGAGATCAGTTGCGCCTGACGGAGGGTTAACTAAAGATTTCGCTTCTTTAATAGTTGTAGGTTATAGTTATAGTTTAGATTATCTCTTTCACCTTGGGTGAGTTTGTGGTTTTGAGGAGTTGGTCCATTTGATCAAGGTTGTTGAATTTTTGCAGAGTTGTTGGTACTATTCCCTTATCCTTTTGATACCTGCAGGGTCTGTAGTGATGTCTCCTTTTCTTTTCTAATATTGGTGTTTTGTGTGTTCTTTTTCTCTTTGTCTCTCTTGCTAGAAGTTTATCAATTTTATTGCTCTTTTCAAAGAACCAGGTTTGGGTTTCATTGATTTTTCTCTCCCGTTCTTCCTCCCCCTCATTTCTGAGCACACCGCACACGTCTTTGTGTTTGTCCTGGGTGACTTCCCAAGGGCTACTTCGTGAGACTGCTGGAGTGGGGCTCCCTGGCACCGTGTTTGGGGTTTTGTCAAACTTCTCTAGAGTCATCCAAGACTTTGATGGCTGTTGGGGAGAAAGTAACAACCACAGTAAGGACAAGTAACTGGAGTGGCTGACACTTACACTGTGCTGAGCGCACCTCTTCACCTGATGACAGTGCCTGTCATCTCTGGGCAGACAGGAAGCTGGGTGCAGAGGAGATGGGCTCCCAGAGAGTCCTGAATGGGAGGTGTGGTCTTGCCCATGCAGTGAAGTTGGGCACATGGCCTTGTGAGCACAGGCTCAGAGCCGGGTGTGATTTAAAGGTGCCTCTCCAGCCCGCCTGGCTCTGTCCTTTGGGCCCACTCTCCAGAGGGCCTGCAGGGAAGCGCTGCAGGGGTCCCGGGTTCTCAGCCCCTGGGGGATCCAGGGAGGCTGTGCTGCGTAGGGAGGGGAGGGGCGGCTCCTGCTCCAAGCAGCCCATCTGCTCATGGGGTTCTCCCAGATGCCTGGCCTCCCTTCCCTTCCAGCCGCCATGGCACTGAACCGACTCCCTGGCACAGGGATGTGTGCCTGGCGGCCCTTCTCAGCTCTTCTTCACTCCAACCCCACCTGAAAGTTGAGCTTTCCCCCGAGTTGCCTTTATGTGTCCCAAGGCCACTGCTTTCCTAAGCGGTCCTGCGTGTTCTTTGAGAACTAAGTGTGGACGGTTGGCTCAGTGGTTTACTCCAGAACATACAGATTAGTCATTGGGCCATGTGGCCAGAGGCCTTGCCACCCAGACTCCTGACGGGACTCTTGGAAACCACCCCAGAGCTCTGTTGTCCAGGCCTCTGCGAGAGACCACCCTCCCGTCCTCCCCCTGCCCATTCCCTGGAAGATGTTCCCGGACCAGCAGAGTGTGAGTCCAGTGTCCTGGACTGGTCACACAAACAGCACCTCACTGAGCACTGGTGACAGGCAGTGTGGAGACATCCAGACCAAGTCCTTCAGCTGGGGAGGGGTGGGCGCTGACGAGGGAAAGGCGACCAGCCAATAAGGGATGGGTGTGTGAGGTTGCGGGTGCCCAGCGAGGTGGGGCATGGCGGGGCGGGGCAGAGCACTGGGGCCTCAGCAGGTCCTGAGGAAGCGTCCTGCCGCTCCTGGCCCTTGTGTGCCAGGGACTGCAGGGGCAGAGCAGGGCTTCCCAACAGGGCACGAAGGATGGGCTCCGTGTGACAGGACTGCCGCAGCGTCCTGTCACACACACAGCCCACACACACTGAGGGCCTCAGGACAGCAGGGCTTCCCCTGGGTGTCTGTCCCCTGTGTGGGTGCTGGTACAGCCTGGAGGCTGAGAGAGCTCCAGCACCAAGCAACGAGGCTTCTCTCCTGGGAGCGCCGCCCAGGGCTTCCACAGTGACAGCGTCTCCTGGTGCGAGTGGTCCCAGGATGAAGTGCTTTGCGCACGTTTGTGATGGATGCTCGCCCCCGTAATTCGGTGTCAAAGGTTTGCTGCCTGCAGCCCGCTCCTGCTTGCGGGGGAGGGCCCTGTGCGCTGAAGAAGGCACGTGCCCCACTTGTAGGGGCTGTCCACCTGCGGCTGGGGGTTGAGCAGGTGCCTGAGGTCCCGGAGTTGGAAGGTTCTGCATCTCTTTTTCTACCTGGGGCCTCTCAGAGCCCCATTGACTTCTTGGCTGGTCTGTCCTGGAGGCTCTTGGGTGAGAGAGGACTGTTTGTATGTCATTTGCTGTTTTTTTTCACCCACCAGGCGCCTTGCTGCGTGGTTTCCATCAAGGGAATGTTAACCCTACAAAGCAGGCTCTGCGTAGCTGCCTCGGGGGGAGTTCAGGCTGCCGCCCTTGCTTGGCTGTTCATTCATCAGTGGCAAGAGGTCCGTGTCTGGCCCATCCTTAGTGCCTGCGACTCACCTGTCTCTCGGGTGTCTTTGGGCACTTTTGTCCACGTGCGAGCTCAGGCTGCAGGACGCTGAATTCCTCTGCCATCCTGGGACCACCCCACTGGACCTCGTGTGGGTGGCTCCCCTTAAAAGGAGTTTTACAGCAACAGAAACGCTGCACTTTAAATAAAATAGTACAGACTTATTGAAGGGTTTGCTTACCCATGTTGGAGGTGAAATGTGAGTGAAATGGCGTGTAGCACTGTGCAAGGGTCTTTCGGAGGCGCCAAGGCCCCTCAGCACTACCTGGTCCCTGCCTTTCTCTTTCGGTGTGGGGTGCTGGTGTTGCTGGTTTTGTCCGAGACGCTCAGAGTGGCTGAGCACACGACAGGCCCCCCGAGTCATGGGGGTCAGGCCTTTGCACCTTCTTGCTCTGGGAGCCACAGCCCCCATCCCAGTGGAGTTGTGGGTCCCTCCCTGCTGCCCACAAGGGGGCGGCCTTGGCTGGCCGTATGGAATGCTGCCTTCTGCTTGTGAGTTCCAGCTTGTATTTTTTTGTTACATACGGGATCTTGTTATAGAAAATAGCAAATGTTTTCGGAAGTAGAGGGCCTGCACTGAAGGGCATCTGAAGGGCGAGAACACCATGTGCTCGTGGTGGTGGCCAGAGGTAATGCTCAAGCCCATGGTCTCTGTGTGCTGAGATTCGCCGAATAAGCACTTTCGTACTATCCCGGCCTGCCTTCCAGGTTTTGTTTGTGGTGCCCAAACCCCAGGGGGTGGTGCTTGTCAAGTAAAGATACAGATCAGTTCTATAAGCAGGTTTTGACCCCCGCCACCCCTCGACTTGCAGGACCCAGTGAGGCACCGTCCTTGCCACAGAGAACTTAGTCTGCGGAGGGGACCAGCAGGGAGGTCCTGGTTTCTCCTGGAAGCACATGATGCACTGAGGCTATGCACAGGGAGCTTGGGGACCACGGGGCAGTGTGCATGTGTGTGTGTTATGTGTGTGCACATGTGAGTGTGCGTGTGTGCACACGTGTGCATGTGTGAATGTGCCTGTGCATGTGTGCATGTATATGTGTGTGCATGTGTGAGGGTGACTTGTACGTGTGTGCATATGCGTGCATGTGTGTGAGTGTGCGGGGGTGGGGGGAGAAGCAAGCCTCAGCAGACGGCTCCCAGAGCAGATAGAGCTGGAGCAGCCCCACGAAGGGCGACCTGGGCGGTGGGGAGAGACCAGGAAGGATGCACAGAAACAGGAAGTAGAGGTTGTGGAAGGCAAGGGGTGTGTGTGAGGTGGAGGGTGCAGGGGAGCGGAAGGGCAGAGGTGGCACCACCTCTCTGGGTTTTGGGGCTTGTGGGGGCGGATTGGAATTGGTGGAGGAGCAACGAAATTTCACTGAACGCTCGTCTCCACTCTAATTAGTGTCGCATCTTCATGTGTCCGTCAGGGTCTGAGCAGGGAGAGGAGGCTGGAGGAAGGCCACCCTGTGTCCTAGTTCCTGGAAGGTGGGGCTTCAGGGGGTGTATGCCATTTCATTGTCTTTTCTAATGCAGTATTATTCTACTTTGTTCAAAACATACCCATTTAATTGGAACAACGGGGCTATTCGTTTTCTAAAATTAGACTTGGGGGTGCTGGAAACAAACAGGCTTGGTGGCTGACCTGGTCAGGTGCCTGAATGGCTGTGGCCTTTGTCTAAGATATTTTAAACATAAAAATTCTGAAGTTTAAAAAAGCCAGCACCACCGGACAGCCTCAGCCTGGCAGAGCTCACAGGTACCGCGGGTCTCCGGGCACAGCATGCTGCCTGGCCCGCCCCAGCCTGGCGAGCGAGGGCACACTGCTGGGCTCTGCTCATTCTTGCCCTCCACGGCCAGCTTCTTGAAGACACTGAGTCTGTGGTGACCTGTTAGGGCAGCAACACCGAGTGTGACAACAGAGCCGTCTCCAGGCACTGCCCCCTGTCCCCGCATCATGCTCTGCTGGAGAGGGCCACAGGCTCCCCACCAGTCCCCACCGGGAGGCGGCGCTCATTCCCGAGAGTCAGGCTGGCCCTGTGGCCACTGCCCCCATGGGAGACGGCCAAGGAGGCTCCCAGCTCCGGGCCTTGCTTGTTTCTTGCTTCAGAAGCATCTGATGTGTCAGAGTGTTCCACCACGTGTAGCTAACCGGTCTGATTTGTGTTTCTAGGTGCTGGCAAAACCCCAACCCTGGGCGGCGGCTTCCACGTGAACCTGGGAAAAGAGTCGAGAGCACAGACCCTGCAGAACGGTACTTCCGCCACGGTGCTGCTGGGCGAGGGCGGGTTCTGAGCTCCCATCCTTGCCATCCTCCAAGCCCAGTGCAGGCCATGCTCCTGGGAGGAATTGTACCTGGAGTCACTCCCCTCTCTCAGGTCTCTGGGACCCCGTCTGGGCCTCCTGCAAAGACTGTGCCAGGGCCGCTTAGGGAGGTCAGGTCCTGTTTGTCCCTGGTCCCAGTTAAGACAGTCCAGAAACTACAAGTTGATACAATGTGACACGGCATGCTGTCACCTCCGTATTTTATAACAGATTGTGGAAATGTCTGTTCAGATCCCAGGCCTGTGCTTAATCAGGCTTCTTCTTGTTGTGGAATTGTAAAAGTCCCTTGTGTATTTTACAGACAAGTCTCACATGCATCACGCGATTAAGGACACGTTTGCCTGTCTGTGCGGTGTCTTCACATTTTGACGCTGTACTTTGAGGCACAAAGGTTTTCCTTTCTGATGCTGTCCAGTGTACCTATTTGTTCCTTTGTGTCTTTGCTTTTCATGTCATAACTAAGAAACATGGCCAATCCAATCCAAATCACAAAGATTATGCTTACGTTTTCTTCCGACTTTTGTGGTTAAAGACCTTGGATTTAGGCTGTGACCCACTTTGAGTGCGTTTTGCCTACGGTGTGAGGTAGAGCCTACTTTCTGTCTGGCGTGTGAGTGCCCAGTGTTCCCAGCACCATGTGTTGAGAGACTGGATTGATGACCCAGTTGGCCATGAGGGTGAGGGTTTATTTCTACGCACCTCTGTTCTAAGCTCTGTGTCTGTCCTGGGCCACTACCACTTGTGCTGGTTCTGTAGCTTTGCAGCAAGTTTGAAGTCAGAAATGTGAATCTTCCAGCTTTGTTCGTTTTTAAACATTGTTTTATTGATTATTCTGAGTCCCTTGAATTTCCACATGAATTTTAGGATCAGCTTGTCAATGTCTGCCAAGAGCCAGGGGTTGGACAGGGGTTGCGTTGAGTCTATAAATCAGTTTGGGGTGTCATCATCTTCACATCCCTGAACATGGAGTGTCTTCCCGTTGACTTGGCTCTTATTTGTTACAACAATTTTTGTGGTTTTCAGAGTATAAGTTTTACATTTCTCTTATTACAGTTATTCCTAAGTGTTTTATTCATTTTGATGCTGTTCTAAATGGAATTGCTTTCTTAATTGCATTTTCCAAGTGTTCATTGCCATTGTATGTATGATAGATGTCTGTGTGTTGATCTTGTATTCTCTAACCCTCGTAGAACTCATTTATTATGACAGTTTCTAGTGGATTCCTGAGGATTTTCTATATACCAGATCATGACATCTGCAGATAGAGCTTTACTTCACTTCCCGGTTGCGATGCATTTTATTTAATTTTCTTGTCTGACGGTCCTGGCTAGACCCTCCAGCACCATGTTCAATAGGAGTGTCTTGTTCCTGATTTCAGGGGAAAACATTCAGTTTTCACCACTAAGCATGATGTTAGCTGTGGTCAGCTCCAGCAGGGACCCTTTCTGCTGGAACCTCTCAGACATTTCCATGAGGACACTCAGGAAAGTTATGGCAAGTAAGAGCACCTCCCAAATCGGTGTGTCCCCACACTCCATGGTCTGTACCTACCTGCTGGTCACCTCCTTGGTTCTCAAGGACCTGCATCCCCTCCCCGCTGCTGCTGCGGACGGGGCGGCCAGTAGGGGACACCCACATGGGCCGACTGCCATGAGGGCTGGCAGTGGGCTTGTTACTATCGCTCGCATTCAGAATCTGTTTCTGGATTTCCACGGTGCTCTCTTCTTTGATCCCATGGGTTTATTATTGGTGTGGTTAGTGCTCTTCTTCCCAGCTTGATTCTTCTGTGGTTAGACACCATTGTCTGGAGGGGCTCAGTCTTTTGAGACAACATGACACTTGCTCTGTCACAGATGGCACGTCAAACCCCTGTGGTGACCGGATTTGTCCGTGGCCACCGTAATTCAGTCTTCTTTTGTCCTGCTGGTTCATTGGTGTCTGCAGACTTAGAGTCCTTCCCGGTGGGAGCCCCGCCCTGCTGCCCTTGCTCTTCAGATGGGGCCGCCACACGCTCCTTTTCTGTCTGGCTAGCCTGCAGGTCTTCTGCGTATGAAGAACTTTATTCCCAGTAAAGGATGTGTATGTTCCTAAACCTTGTGGTGCGTTGTGTGTCAGACCCCAATAGATTGTAAAGAGCAGAAGCCTGCAGACATCTTCATGGCAGCAAAACTGGAAACTATCAATAAAGAGCAATAACCCATCTGAGCAAAACAAACGTTAAATAACCCTGGGTTTACGTAAGAAATCAAAGCAGACCTCACAGACTCTTAGAATGGCGTATCTATTAGGTCTGAGGCCGAGGTGGGGCCCGCTGAGCCGCTTGGGGAAGTCTGCACCTTGTGGCGTCTTCCTCTGCAGCCCTTTCACGGGGCTCCCTCCTGGGGGTCAGCGGCCGGGTGCCTGCGAGGGGCTGGCTCTCCTCTGCCCTGCAGGTGCCCTCCTGCCTTTGGCTGCCTCCCTGGGTGTCAGTGTCCAGTGTCTGCCAGGTGGGGGCTGTGGGGGCCGAGGGAGGCTGTGGGGCCCAGTCCTAGACTCTGTAGATTTTGGCTGGAGCCGTCCACTTCCCGCCTGGGGCCGCACTCTGTTGACCTTCTGTCTGCAGTGGTTCCCTTTTCTTCTTTGCCCTGGTGAGTTTTTGCCGGCTTGATATCCTGTCATTTTCTGTAGCTTTCGGGGGTGGGACTGGAGGGTGGGTAATGGAGGGCAGGTCCTGGCACGTCTTTTAGATGTTCTCTTAGAGACGAGTTCTGCATTTCCGATGTGTTGGGCTCTTCCTGCCTCGCATTTCATGTTTTATATTTACCTGTAAATAACCTTCACTGCTCCTTGCTGATTTAACCATGGCTTGTGTTTTTTTCCTTCTTATTCTGTGTTCTTCACCTCCCCCGCCTGCCCCGGGGTTTGGGTTTTCCGAGTGTCACAGTAAGCAGTGTTGACGGTCAGTGGTCACCCTCAGCTTTTCAACTCCCAGAGCCTGGAGTTGGTCTGTCATCCTCCCATGCCCGTTCCACCACCCACCCCCAGCCTGTGGGGTTTGCTTGAAATCTGTGAATTTGGCTTCAGCTGTTACTATTTTTGTTAAATTTTGGTTGCCTGTCTTAGAAAATGAGGAGTTGAAAAATGAGCAGTCGCCTGGCCCCCCGTCATGCCTGTGTCATGAGTGGGTTTGCCGGCTGCTGGCCTCGCTTTCTCCCTCAGTTCTTGTGCCCACACCTGTCCCTTTCACGGGTTCTCCCCTGGTTTTGCTGGGAACGTACCTAGGCTGTGGTTAAAGGACGGGTCCGTGAGAGAGAAACTCTGGACGCCGTGCATGTTAGAACTTGACTTTGTCCTCCCTTGGGAATGCTTGTTGAGGGCTTTGGGGCAGGCGTCCCATCAGGTCCTGAGCAGGGGAGGTCATACCCAGCCTGAGTTCTGGTCTCTTTTTCTTTTATTAGTTTCAGGTGCACAGAACAACATAATGATTAGACGGTTACACCCCTCATAAAGTGATAACCCCCCACCAAGTCTGCTACCCCTCTGACACTGTATATAGCTATTCCGATACCATTGACTGTATTCCCTATGCTGTTCTTCACATCCTGTGACTATAATATATTTAATTATAGTTGACAGCCAGTATTATTTTATATTAGTTTCACGTGTACAGAGTAGTGGTCAGGCAACTACACAGCCTATGAAGTGATTTCCCCGATAAGTCCAGTGCCCATCTGACACCCTACATAATCTATTACAACATTGATTATATTCCCTGTACTGTATTTAATATCCCTGTGACTATTTTGTGACTACCAATGTGTAATCCCTTCACCTTCTCCCCCATCCCTCCCATCTGGCAACCATCAGTTTGTTCTGTGTCTGAGTCTATTTCTGTTTTGTTTGTTTGTTTATTCTGTTCTTTAGATCCCACATAAAAGTGAAATCATATGGCATTTGTCTCTCTCTGACTTACTTCACTCAGCATAATATCCTCTAGGTCCATCGATGTTTTTGCAAATGGTAAGAGTTCGTCTTTTTCACGGCTGAGTAATATTCCATTGTGTATATTACCACATCTCCAATTATCTATCGATGGCCATTTTGGTTGTTTCCAAGTCTTGGCTATTGTGAATAGTGCTGCAGTAAACATAGGGGCACATATATCTTTTCAAATTAGCATTTTGGATTTCTTTGGATAAATACCCAGGAGTGGAATTGCTGGGTCCTAAGGTAGTTCTATTTTTAATATTTTGAAGAACCTCCATACTGATTTCCATAGTGACTGCACCAGTCTGCAGTCCCACCAACAGAGCACAAGGGTTCCCTTTTCTTCACAACCTCACCAGCACTTGTGGTTTGTTGATTTATTGATGACAGCCGTTCTGACAGGTGTGAGGTGGTAGCTCATTGTGGTTTTTATTTGCATTTCTCTGAATGGTGTTTTTCTTTCTTCACTGGGCCCTGGTAGGGTTTTCCCTCTCTCCCTGGAGCTCTGAAATGCCGTGAGCCCTTTCATTTGGGAGGCATCGCTGGGCAGATTTGTTTCAGTTCTCCTTGTGTATCTGTCTGTCTGGGTCTGACGGTATGCAGCCCAGGGATGCAGTGCACTGGCCGTGTGTGCCCTGCGGGCTGAACATCCGTGAGTTGCAGCCTCCGATCATGGCAGAACGCTCCCTGTTGTCGATGGGCTGGCTGGTTTTGGTTTTCCACTGCGACAACTGGAGCGGCCTCCTTGTGTGGGTGTTGTTGTGTTGGACGTCATGGTGTGAATACAGCCCCTCTGATTTAGCAGTTTGTCCTGTCAGTGGTGTGTGGCTCATATGTGTTGTCCTGGGGAACAGTTCTCCCGGGAATGTGCCTGAGTGGGATTTCTGGGCACCAGATGTGCGCGCTCACCTGCAGTAGCCCTGGCATGTTACCCTCCCGTCAGCAAATGGCCTGAGAAGCCAGGAGCTGCTGGCCAGGTCCCCCGGCTCACCAGCCTGAGGGCACTCAGGCTGTGTGATTGGCTTTCCCTGGTGAGGTGTGACCACCTTCACCCAAGCTTTGGGGCTGATCAGAGGTCTTGTTTCTTGGAGTCTCTTGCACAAGTCCTTTAATTGACTTGTTAATCTTTTCCCCACTGATTCGTCCGTGTTCCTTCCATACTCTGGATTAGACTTCTTTGTTGCATATACATGTTTGGAACGCTCCTACCAGACAATGGCTTGTCTTTTCACTTTTTTTTTTTAATTTTAAATTTATTTATTTATTTATATATTTTTAAGATTTTATTGGGGAATTGGGGGAGGGAACAGCGTTGGGGAATCGGGGAAGGGGAACAGACAAGTTGCTGTCCTTTTGTTCTTCAGTCTAGTTGTGGAGGACGTTGCTTCACTGGCCCAAGTTGGTATTATGATCGTTGCACTCTTCCCAGGTGAGGCAGATTGGTCGCCAGCCATTCAATGGCGGCTCATGGCAGCTCACGCCGGCTGCCGGCTGCTCACGCCGGCTGCCTGCCACTCATGGTAGCTCACGGCAGCCCACTGCAGCCCCACTGCAGCCTACACCATCACCGGTGACTCACAGCAGCCCAGCTCCAGGTCAAGCTGTTGTTCACCATCTTAGCTGTGAAGGGCGCAGCATCACTGACCCATGTGGGATCTGAACCGGGAACCGTGCTGCTCAGAGCTTGCGCTCTCAAGCCAACTCTTAACCAGCTGAGCCACTCAGCCGTCCCACTTTTTTTTTTTAATAAGAGTTTATTTGAGCCAAATTGATGACACATGCTGCAGAGAAAGATCTCAAATGCTCCCCCTTTTTATTCTTGTAATGTTGTCTTTTGATTTCTTAACTTTAATGAAGTCCCAGCGTACCAGTCTTTTACGGTTAGGGTTTTTATGACTTGTGTAAGCAACTCTTGTCTATCCCAAGATCTGAAAATAATCTCCTGTGTTCTCACCGAGAAGCTTTATTGTTTTATGTTTCGTGTCTAGATTTATGATCCACCCAAATCAAGTTTTACACATGGTATGAGGTAGTGTTGAGGTTTACATTTTTAATATGGACACACAGTTCCAGCACCAATTCTCAATGGAACACACTTCCCCCAGAGCATTGCACCTGTCCACTTGTTTCCCTGCCCCCACCTGAGAGCATTGCATTGTCCACTTGTCCCACCCTAAGCATTACATCTGTCCACTTGTCCCCCCACAGAACATTGCATCTGTCCACTTGTCCCTATCAGAGCACTGCATCTGTCCACTTGTCCACCCCCCGCCCAGATATTGCATCTGTCCACTTGTCCCCCCACTGGAGAGCATCGCATTGTCTTCTTGTCCTTCCCAGAGCACTGCATCTATCCTCTCGTCACCACCCCAGAGCATTGCATCTGTCCACTTGTCCCCACCAGTGCTTTGCATCTGTCCGTTTGTCTCCCCAGAGTACTGCATCTGTCCACTCCACCCCCCCTCCGCCCAGATAGTGCATCTGTCCACTTGGTCCCCCGCTGGAGAGCGTTGCATTGTCCACTTGTTGCCCCCAGAGCATTTCATCTGTCTACCTGTCTCCCCCAGAGCACTGCATCTGTCCACTCGTCCCCTTCCATGCATTGCATCTGTCCATTTGTCCTCATCCCCCCAGAGCATTGCATCTGTCCACTTGTCATTCCCCCTCCCAGCGCTTTGCCCGCAGGTTCTTTGGCGCTGCTCCCTTGCTGCCCGCCTTTGGCCAGCAGTCATTGTCAGGCCATTGTGAGCAGCACATGCAGGGTGGGTAGACCTGGCCATTAACCAGAAGACCGAGGACCTCATGCAGCCCTTGTATCCCCAGCCACAGTCCTTGTTAGAGAGGAGGATGTGTACTCAGCTTTTTTTGGATGGAGTGGAGGTCCTTATTTTGTTCTTGGCCCCTGTGGTCTGGGCTGTGGAGGACGCTGGGGACCTGGGGTCTGTGATGGGATCTGCCTGCCCAGCGCGCTTACTCAGCAGATGAGTGGCAGTGAAGGAGACGGCTCTTTACTCTGCAGTCTCACCAGTGTTCCCGCTGTGGCCTCTTGGCCTTGGTTCTGCTCTCTGAGCCAGCTGACCACAGTTACTCTCATGTGCGGGTGGCCGTCTTCTCTTTTACTGCTGTCTTTTGACCCGTAGCTCTGGGATGGACTTGGCTGGGAAGAGGTGTGTATACAGACTTGGTGCTGCGTGCCCTGGCCGGTGGCGCAGAGAAGGCTGGGCAGAGCCTGGGCATTCAGCCCGGGAGGGGTGTCCATGTAGGCCTGTCACAGGATGTTGTCATCTGGGGCTCGTGGGGAGTAGCACTGGGCCGGCTGCCCCGACATAGCGACCTGACACCTGAGCTCAGGGACTTGAGAAAGGCACACACAGCACGCTGCCCCGCCTGCCGAGGCCCAGATATAATGCCATTTAAACATGGAGAGGAGAGGTCGTGGCATGAGAGTTGTAGGAAATTCACATCATAGCCACACCTAAAGTTTTACTGGAACACACAAAAAGCGAACTAAAGATGTAGACGTGAGAGGACAAACCTGCGTTCTGACTGTTAAATTGCCAGGCGGCCATGTGCATGGGCTGTGGGCTCAGCGGTGACCTGTCGCGCTGTGTTACGGGCTCGGCGGTGACCTCTTGCTTTGTGTCCTAGGCCGGCGGCACATCCACCACCTGGGGAACCAGCTGCAGCTGAACCAGCACTGCCTGGACACAGCCTTCAACTTCTTCAAGATGGCCGTGAGCAAGCACCTGACCCGCGGCCGCAAGATGGCTCACGTGATCGCGGCCTGCCTCTACCTCGTGTGCCGGACGGAGGGCACTCCGCGTATCCTTTGGTTCGGGGGCTCTCACTGGGCTTAGCTCTTGGTCAGCGTCCTTTTCGGTATTGGGGTTCGGTGGTTACAGTGACACGGTGCGGGCATTTAATGGGTTACCTGTCCTGTTGTTGCCTGTGGATGAATGCTGGGCATCCTGGGTGCCCGTCCTCGCTTGGCCCTTGCGGAGGACAGAGCACGTGCTCTGCTGCCGCTCTTCAGTGTGTTCCCTCAGTTGGCCTCTGTAGGCAGGCCTCATCCCATGCCTGCTCACTGTGCCTCTCCTGTGTGTGCCCAGGGCCGTCCCCTGCCTGTGTGACGCGTGGGCTCTTGGTCCCGCCGCTGGACCCTCTGTCTCCTGCTTCCTTGCTGTCTTCCCCACCGCGCTGGGGCTTCCCTGCCTGTGCACCCACCTGCGCGCGTCTGAGGATGGCCTCTCTTCAGCCCACACCCTTGGGGATAGCGTGGCGGGAGTCCAGGGTGCAAACGGTCGCTTCAGAATTTGCATGGCAGTGCCGGGGTCTTCCTGCCGCTGCGTTCCTGCTGAGCGGCGCAGTGCCCCAGTCTTGTCCTCTATCTGTGGCAGGCATGTGGCATCTGAAGGCCCAGAGCGCCTGTGTTCTCAGGCTCAGGGTTCCTGGCGTGTCCGAGTGACTCGGGGGTCCTCTGTGCCGCCCATGCTGCCTTCCTATCATGTCTTCCCTCTTTCTTCCCGTTTACCTTCGGCTCTGGGAGAGTTGATCTTTCAGCAGAACATGCTGCTGGGGGAGGAAGCTGGGTGCAGAGGCCACATGTGGGTGACTCCCCGTCTGCCAGACGTCGTACAGGAGAACCCACGGCCGAACACAGAGGCTGTAGGGCAGGGAAGAGGGGAGAGCCGAAGGCACGGCTTCTTTTTGAGGTGATAAAAATGTGCCAAAATTAGATTATGGTGTTGGTAGCACAGCTCTGTAAATCAGCTAAGAACCACTGAACTGGACACCTTGAACAGGTACATTTGTGGCTGTAACTTTGACCTTGTAAATCTGTTCAGGACGAGATAGCAGGGTGAGGGGAGCTCCGCCCAGCAGCCTTACCCCAGCTGGCCTCAGGATGGCTGTTTGGGGGTACGGGGCGGGGTACAGGTGTGACACGGTCTCATCTGTCTTCTTCTGGCTGCCGTCACCACCACCCCCGTGCTCCAGGCAGGGTCCCCAGACTTGTCCTGGTCACCCTTCTCCTCCTGCCCCTTCTCCCTTTCTGCCACGCTGGCCTGGCTGTGCGGTCCCTGTTCTGGCACCATCTTGCCTCCTGGCACATGAGTTCCAAATCCCTTGCCCCCAGCAGCCTTGCTGCCCCTAGGCTGTGCCGGCCTCCCTGACTCATAGGGGTCTGGTAGGGGCCACCAGGGGAAGGCTGGGAAGAGACCTGCTCTCTAGACCTCCTGTTCTGGGCCAGGGCAGTGTGATTGGTAGAAACTCGAGAGTTGTAACTGGACATACACACACCACCAACCCCACGTCTGTGCCAGACAGGTGACCAGGCCAGGGCGTTTTCCACAGAACTGGAGGTGCAGGTCGGTCACTGCAGCTCTCTGTGACATGCACTGAGTGCTAGGTGTGCTTTGGACACAGCTGCCTTTTTTTTTTTTTTTTAAAGATTTTTATTGGGGAATTGGGGGATGGGAACAGTGCTGGGGAATTGGGGAACGGGGAACAGACAAGTTGCTGTCCTTTTGTTCTTCAATCTAGTTGTGGAGGACGCCGCTTCACTGGCCCAAGTTGGCACCATCATTGCGCTCTTCTCTGGCGAGGCAGATCAGTCGCCGGCCTCTGGACGGCCGCTCACTGCGGCTGCTGGCCGCTCACGCTGGCTGCTGGCCACACACGGTAGCCCATGGCAACCCACTGCCACAGAGGCTGCAGCCCACGCCGTCGCCGGCGACTCATGGCAGCCCAGCTCCAGGTTGAGCTGTTGTTCAGCATCTTAGCTGTGGAGGGCAGTGTCACTGGCCCTCACATGTGGGATCCGAACCGGGGCCCTCTGGCATCCCAAGCGAGTTCTCAACCATCGCGCCACTCGGCCGGCCCCACAGCTGCCTTTTAAGTCTGATATTTACTGGGGTCCAGTGAGCTGCCAGTAGGTCTGTGGGTCTAAGTTAAGCCAGGAAGCCATGTACAGAGGCTTGTGTCAGCTGTGACTTGTCACACTTGTGCAGGCCCTGGGCAGGAGGGCTAGGTCTGCATAGAACACTCGCACAGCCGACTGGCCACTCCAGGCTGCAGCCGCCCTCAGACCCGCTGTCTCCCGGGCATCAGACCACTCACGCAGCATTACACCCGGGCCTAACGGTTCACAGGTCTCGGTGGCCCTCTCGAGTCTGAGCGTCTGTGCCCCGCGGCCACGTGCCCCTCACCCTGGGTTCAGCGGAGGAGGAGGCTCTCTCTTCCTCGCCTGCACACAGGGAGGCGCCCTGTGTGGTCTGGGGTGAGCAGACCTTCTTTAAATGTTTGGGGCAGTTCACAGTGAAGCCGTTTGGGCTGTCAGCTTTCTTTGTGGGAAGGTCTTAAGTATATGGGTTCAGTTTCTACAATAGACGCAGAACTATCCAGACTTTCTGCTTCTTGTTCCAGTTTTGGTAAGTTGTATTTGCAAAACACTCGTTCCTATCACTTCTGACACCGAATGTAGTGGGTACACTTAATATTCCCCATGACCCTTTGGTGTCTGTAACAGTTGTGGTAACATTCCCTTGTCCATGTCTTATGTCGGCAATTTTGCCTGTTTTTCTTTGATCCATCTCACAAGGGGGTTGCTAGTTTTATTAGTCTTTTTCTTAGTAAGAGCTTTATTGAAATGTAATTCACATGTGGTACAATTCACCCACTGAAATGTGCAGTTCAGTGGTTTGTAGTTACATTCAGAGCTGTGCCTCCATCACCACAGTCAATGTGACAACATTTTCATTACCTGAGAAAGAGCCCTGTCCCCTTAAGCTCCCAGCCCTAAGCCACCAGCAGTCCGCTTTCTGTATGTTTGCCTGTTGGGGACGTGTCATGTAAATGGCATCGTGTCATGTGCCACTGTAACTGTGCTTATTACCTTGTCGGGGCAACGCCGGACTTCTCCCACCAGCTGCATGTGTGTTCCATCGGCAGTGTGGGAGAGGCCGCAGCGTCACTACCTGTGCCAACACTTTTATTTCATTGGTTTCCTTCTAGTATTTCTTTCCTTTTGTTCTTTTTGGGTTTAATATACTATTTTTCCACCTTCTAGAGACACATGCTTAGGTTTAATTTTAGTCCTTCTGTTTTCCTAACATTTAAGACTATATTTTCTAAGTGGGGTTTAGTTACATCACACAGTTTTGATGTGTCATATTTTAATTCTCATTCAGTTTAAAATATTTCCTAATTCCTGTCGTTATTTCTTCGTAGATCCTGAGCCATTTATTATAGAAGCGTATGGCTTATTTGGAAAGGTTTCCTTGTCTGAGCTGCTTCAGTGTAATTCCGTGAGGTCCGAGGGCACACTGAGTGACCCTGTTTCCTGGTGTCAGTGACTGTGCCATGTGCACTCCAAGAACACACCTGCAGTTGTGGGCAGGGTGCTCTGTAAATGGTTAATCACCTTCAAGTTGTCCTTAGCGGTTTTCTGTCCCGTGTTCTGAAAGGTTAGGCCCCCTGCCCCACCGGCTGCCTGCTTTCCTGCGTCTCCTTGGTTTTTCATTATATTCTGAAGCCGTGTTATCAGGATGCAAATTCCCAATTGCTCATCGTCCTGGTGGAAATGACTCGTCTAACATAATGAAATGCCCCTGCCACTAAACGTTCCCCCCCGCAATTCTATCGTGTTTGATGTTAGTAAAACTATGCCCTTTCTTTTGCTTGGTGTTTGCATGGTCTGCCTTTTTCCAACTTTTCAAATCTAATCCTCCTTGATAATAGTCAAGATGTCTCTTGTAAGCAGTGTCTAATTGTGTCTTCTTGTTTAATTTTTTAATCCAGTCTGAAAATGTTTTTATTGGAGAATTTCGTGCATTGCAGTTTAGTGTGCTTATTGATGTGAGTTTATTTCTGCCACTTTGCATTAGGTTTGTTCCATCTGTTCTTTAGTCTCTCCCTTTCCTACCACCTCTTACAGAAATCAAGTATTTGGTTAGTCTGTCTTCCTTGAACTAGCCTGTCCCTCGTACATTTACCTGTTATTACTGTGGGTCGTCCGAGAGGTTATGTGCTTGTGCTCCTGAGAACACTCTCCGGCCTGTTGTCATCGCAGATGCTCCCGCTGCTCTGTTAGCTTTCATTCACTCAGCGCCCTCTGCGTTGGCCCCCTACGCATTCCTACTTCTGTGGGACTGGGGGGGGGAATTGGCCAGTCACGCTGTCTGCAAGCCCCGCCCACCCCCCCAAGCTGTGTGCTGAGAGGGTGCCCAGACTGACGCCTCAGGGCAGGTTGGGGCAGGGCTACGGGGTCCTCATGTGTGGTCTCCCTCTGATCTGTCATGGTGCTGAGGCCCAAGCTCCGGTGGGGGGGGCGGTTGTAGCCAAGCTCCTTCTGTACTTGTGTGGGAGGGGCTCAGTGCCCGTGAGAGCAGGCGCTGGGGCCCTGTGTGGTACTTCTCACTGCCTGGTGCAGTAGCCGCCTGGGCGGGCTGGGGTGGTGTTTGTGGTGGCATTTGTCTGTGGTGGGGCTGGGGTGGGGCTGTGGGTGGGGCCTGTTGGAGGGGTGGGGCTGTGGGTGGGGCCCTGTTGGCGGGGCCGGCAGGAATGGGTGTGGGGTGCACAGGTCTGCCTTCTGGGTAGGTGGTGCTCCTCAGGGGACTCGCCCTCTCGGGTCCCACCAGGAGCTGGGAATGAAGGTGAGGTATGTGCTCCTGTCTTGCTGCCCTGTGGTTCCACCCTTTATCTGCTGAAGGTCCACGGTTGTGTGGCCTCTCAGCCCTCCTGTTGGCCTGGGCGTGTTTCTCTCCCCACACTCCACCCGTAGAAACATGATGCGAGGCTGTGTGGAGGAGCTTGTGTTTTTCTGACTTTTAGTTCTGCTTCGTTTCAATCTCTGTTCACTTTTCCACTTAGAGTCTGAGTTTAAATCAGGTCCCATCTGTGATTGTTCTCCCAGAAGCAAGGTGGCGTGGGTGGCACTGTCCTGTGTTGCCTCACAGTGGCTGGTCCCGGATGCCGGGCAGTGGTGGTAGGGCTTGGGCCATCTCCACACTTCCTGGAAACCCGCTGAGGTCTGGCGGGGACCCTGTACTGTGGTCTGTTGGACTCGCAGGAGTGTCCAGAATCTACAGGTATTTTATCGCTGTCATTCTTTGTGTACATGCATCTCTTTTAGGCGGGCGCTCTCAGTGCCACCAACTAGAACGTGGCAGGCACCCGGCTGTGGGAACAGACGTGCTCATGCCTGAGCTCGTGGTCTGCTCAGCTTCTCGGGGCTCAGAAGGCCCAGTCCCCGCTGGCTTTTACACGTCCCACCAAGTTTGGCGGTCTGGTGTCCCTGAACCGAGAAGGTTGAGAGAGGCCGCTGGAAGGACACTGGCCTACCAGCTAGGCTGACAGAAGACTTTCTGAAGCCACCAGAAACCCCCAAGTGCCCATTAGGTGGGGAACCCACGTGGGTCAGGCCCCAAGGGCACTAACGGATCCTGGCCCGGGATGGGGCCTGTGAGGAGGCACACGGCTCCGATTGTCCTGCTCAGAGGAGAGCTTCGGTTGTCTGGACCCCCCCCTCCCCCCCTGCCCCCACCGGTGCTTCCTAACAGCCAGTGGACTTCGGGGCGGGTCCCTGCCACCATCATGGCAAGGAGACAATCATTTTAACTTGGTGAAGTTGAATTCCAACCTCCCTTTTAAAATATACATGCTTTTTTCTATCAGTTGCTCATAAAAAGTCTCCAACACCTGGCACAGGTGAGAAAACTGCGCAGTGGACCGCCCAGTCTGCCGGTCACTCCTTGGGTCCTTGTTCCCCCCGCTCTGCTCCTCTCTCCATCCCTCAGCCGTGTTCTGTTCAGCACATTTCAAAGTGAGTTGCAGGCATATGCCCATTCCCAGGCCTTCCGTGGGCAGATCATGACCTGACTCGATTTCAGTGTTTGCGATTTTTTTTCTTTTGAGGTAAAATTGGCATAAAAGGCAGTGCACAGGTCTTAGCTGTGCCGTTGGAGGAGTTGTGACAAGCGTGTACATCTGTGCAGCCAGGTCCCCCCAGGATACAGAGCAGCTCTGGCACTGAGCAGGTTCCAGGGGCCCCATCCAGTCAGGCCGCCCCACTGAGTTCGGGTACCGGCTGTTCTGCGATCGTCCACTGTGCATGTGTGACATGTCTTGGCTGTTCCTGTTGACGCACACTGAGCTGGTCCCCCTGGCGACTGTCCAGGAAGCTGCTGTGAACGTTCTTTGTCTTCCTGTGGACGTGTGCTTCCTGCTGACCAGAGGGGAGGTACATGCTCAGTTTTGTAGGAACCTCGAGGCCTTTCCCCAGAGCCGCTGTCCCACTGCCCACTGTCCCAGAGTCGCCAGCACTGAGTGCTATGGGGGTGGGTGTCTCTCTGACTTGCGTTTCTGTGATAGCCAAGGGAAGGCTCTTACGCATGTGCTTGTTGCCTCTTGCCTCTCTTCCTGAAGCGTCTGTTCAAAACCGTTGTCCATTTTGGGGCCTTTATTTTATTACCTATTAGACTTCAAGTTTTGGAGAGTTCCGTATGCCCCCCCCCAGTTTCCTGTTGACACCTGCTTTAGTGTGTGTGTGTGTGTGTGTGTGTGTGTGTGTGTGTGTGTGTGACAACTGATGGACCTGTGCCACACGTCATTACCACGCAGAGCCCAGTTTACATACGCCTACTCTTGGTGGTGTGCCTTCCATGGGTTTGACAAATGCAGGTGCCGCTGTGGTAACAGACAGGCAGTTTCACCCCCCTGAAAATCCGTGCTCCACCCACGCTCCCCCTCCCCCAACCCTGGTGACTGCTGATCCTGTTACTGTCCCCACAGCTTTGCGTTTTCCAGAGTGTCGCACAGTTGAGGTCTTACAGTGTGTGGCCTCTTGGCCTTGTTAACTTGTCTTTCTTCGATGTCACTGTGCATTCATTGGGTGCGGCCTTCCTTGCACTTGCTTCAATGGCCCTTTCTCATTCTCAGCCTTCTCACTAGCTTGTCCTTGTGCACTGTGGCATTACCTGTCTCGTGTGGCTGTCTCCCGATGAAGAACGTGCCTGCAGACAAAAATGGGACCTCAGAATTCGTGTTCAGCTGTCCTCCCGTGTCAGGCTGTGGTGTTGGGGACACCCTGCCTCCTTGATGGCTTGGGCTCAGGCCTTCCCTCTGAATACCTGGTCTGGGCTCTGATTCAGCCTCCTGGTCATGTCTTTCTAGTTACTTCTGGAAGCCACAGCAGCCCTGAATGATATTCATTTTCGCTTCATTTGACAAGTTCTTTACTCAGTGGCTTGTGTTTTGTATTCATGTGTGTCCAGCTGAGTTTTGAATCACTTAGGACATTTTCTGGCTACTATTTAATCAGCTGCTGAGAGCAAGGACAGGGTCCACACCAGAGTCCCCACAGTTGTCCCCTTAAGCACCAGCACCGTGGCAGTGCCTGCCAGCCACCAAGGGTGGCACAGTGTCCATGTGTCTGTCCCCAGGAACTCCCAGCAGGCACTCAGTGAATGCTTGTGGAATGGAGTAAATGTTGTCATGCACGGGTGGGCTGCGCTGTGGCGGGGGACACCTGACTGGGCAGGACTCTCGTGGGTGCTGTGAGGCAGCGTGCAGTCTGAGGACCACACTGAAGCCACCCCCATCCTGGTCGTGGTTCACAGGAGTCTCTAGAAGGTTCTGGTCAGCCATGCTGCCACCTCCATCCTCCTTCCTGGTGGGCACTGAGCATAGATTCCCAAGAGCCCTGGGGACTGGGTGAGATGCTCCTTGACAGCCCTACAGACATGCTCCTGGACCTCAGTGACCTGCTCCAGGTAAGCCGTCTCCTTCCGGAGTCCCTTTCCTGCAGGGGCTGTGCTCGGGGTGTGCGCTGGCCGGGTGGAAGGGTCCACAGGTGATGGGCACAGGAGGGCTTGGTCTCTTGTGGGAGGTAGTGGACATGGGGTCACAGTGGTGTCCTAGCCAAGCGGCCCAGCCTAGAATCAGTGGAGAGACCCAGGGGGACTCTGTCCTAGGCTCAGGAGATTTTTTTTTTTTTAAGATTTTTATTGGGGAGTTGGGGGAAGGGGAACAGACAAGTTGCTGTTGTTTTGTTCTTCAGTCTAGTTGTGGAGGATGTTGCTTCACTGGCCCAAGTTGGCACCATCATTGCGCTCTTCCCGGGTGAGGCAGAACAGTCGCCGGCTTCTGGTCGGCCGCTCACTGTGGCTGCTGGCCACTCACGCTGGCTGCTGGCTACATACGGTAGCCCATGGCAACCCACTGCCACAGGGGCTGCAGCCTACGCCGTCGCCAGCGACTCACGGGCAGCCCAGCTCCACGGGCAGCCCAGCTCTAGGTTGAGCTGTTGTTCAGCATCTTAGCTGTGGAGGGCAGTGTCACTGACCCTCATATGTGGGATCCGAACCGGGGCCCTCTGGCATCCCAAGCCAGTTCTTAACCATCGCGCCACTCGGCCGGCCCAGGAGATTCTTTAAAAGGAAAAAAATGTACTCACATGCATATGTTTTAAATGATATAAAAACCTGTATTTAGTTTATTTAGAGAAATTTGCTTTCTGGGTCCCAGGAATGCACTTTCTGCAAAATCGCTTATTTCCAAAGGACAGAACATGATGGAATGACCCAGTGAGAGGGACACCCATGTGGACGGGATACTCAGGGGGGTGGGGGCAGTGCCAGGGGGGGTCATGGAGGCTCTGTGTGTATCCCGGGAGACGGCACTGGGTGCAGGCTTGACCCTACACCCTGGGGTTGGGCCCTCAGTGCACTCCACTGAGGACTTGGAAAGAGAAATAATGTCATTGAAACAGGCATGTCTACAGTGTGAGGGTTCATGCAGGAGTCACACGAATGCTACCGTATGGGGAAAGTTTTGACCAGATCCGGGTGCCACACTGCCCCAGGGGCGACCAACAGGTAGACTTTTACTTAAATCTGATGCTGCCTGTTTTTGTCCTTCCAGCTGTCTTTATAAATGGCCTCTCTCAGAAGTCCTGCTGGAATATTCCGTGGTCAAGCTAAAAATATCCCACTGGAATTGTGGGAACCCAGCACTGCATGTGCCCAGCTTGGTTCAGGGCAAGGCCATGTGGCCTCGTTTCCATCGGTGACTTCCCAGGAAGTCCAGGAGTGAGGCCAGGCAGGACAGCCGCTGAGGAAGAGCTCGGGCCCTGCCTGGAGGGAGGGGGGGTCTGGTGGTTTTGCACTTCACAGCTTTGGAAGTGGGAAGCCAGTCAGGTGTCAAGACGGAAGAGGGTGACTGGGGTGGCTGTTCCCGCTGAACCTGCAAGCTCAGGCTAGGCACACACACAAGCTGCTTCGCCCTTCTACAGCCTCAGGTGGAGGAGCGTGCCGAGAAGGTGAGGTGGCCTGGCTGGTAGCTGGGGCCCATGCGCGTCCCTTCCCTCCAGCATGGTGTCCTGGAGTGGGCCGGCTCGGCTCCCCAGGGCAGTTGTCTGTGGATGTGGAGTGTGCCGTGTAGGTTGAGGGCCTCACCCAGGGAGCTTGCACTGCCAAGGGCTGACCAGTTAGCAGAAATGAGCAAAAGATTTACAATTGGAAGAGTGTGCCCAGGTTCAGGGTCACATTTCATTCTCATTCACACAACCAAGGTTCAGCACTCCTGACTGAGCTCACAGTGAACACTCTCCAGCAGGGTGACCAAGGGTGCGGGCAGGAGGCCCCTTCGTCCGTATGCCAGGGTTGACAGGGGTGCTCACTTGCCCGGGACACAGCCCCTCAGAGGTGGAGCCAGGAGCCCCCGTATGTGCAGTTCATCTGCCGTTGGGAGTGGAGTGGGAAGGGCTGGCCGGCCACACCCAGCCATGACCAACAGCCGTCACGGAGACGAGCCACAGGCAGAGTGACCTTAGACGAAGTGTCTGTGTCATGATTTCTGATAAGTACTGACGAACAACAGCATCTCTGGTGATAACTGTGTTTTGTGTACTTCGTCTTTTTAACATTTGACTTCCCATTGGAAGGCCGTCGGAGCCCATCTCCCCAGTGTCCAGGTCTTCGTCTGCCTGGGACATGGGTTAGGGACGTGGGAGGTGTGACATGGGCAGGGAGGATCGGGGACATGCCGCGCGACAGAGGAGAGAGCGTGTGGGGCGGCAGGTCAGGTCTCTGGTCTGAACAGACGGGGACCTGCTGGGAACCCCAGAAGGCTGGGGTGCTCCTAGGAAGATGCACGTGTACACGCACACCCATGCACCACACGTGCACATGCTGGGGGGGCAGTGAGCTCCGTGAGCCAGCAGCCCTCATGCTGGGGCTTCTCCTGGAGTCTTCAGAAGTCCTTCAGAGGTGAGTGCTTGAGGGGCTGGAGGGTGTCCCATAAGGACAGCCCATCGCCTCATTCCTTAGTGCCCTGGGCTGGACGCAGCACACACCGTCTTGACTTCTCCTCAGTGTCTTTTCTGGTGTTCCTTGGGCACTGGGCCAAGGGGCCTTGGTCCAGGGGCCTACAGTCCAGGCTGGATCAGGCCAGGGAGCCAGCTGTTTGAGAGACTGGAGGCAGAGGGCCGGGGCTGCCCTCTGGGAGGTCTGAGCCCCAGGGCAGGGCCTGGCAGAACAGGAGTGCCAGCTCTGCACTTTGTCCAGACTGCTCCATGGCCGGCCAGCAGGGGGCAGCGTGGCAGAGGCATAGCCTGGAGGCCTGGCAGAGCACAGAGGGGTCGGGCCCCTGGGCAGCGGCGGCATTTATGTAGGGTTATTTAAAGACTGAACAATGAAATGTGCACTTTAAGGAAAAAAGGTGACATTTCCTAAATACAAATGCACCATCGGTGTGCTTCTTCCTGACAGGTGAACGTGTACGTGCTTGGGAAGACATTCCTCCTTCTGGCGAGAGAGCTGTGCATCAACGCACCGGCAATAGGTACAGGGCACCCTGGGCGCAGCAGCAGTGCCAGCGCTGCCGGCGGGTAGGGGGATGGAGGGGGCGGGCTGTGCGTAAGTGTGAGGGTGCACAGGGGTAAGAAACACGTCCTGCGAAGCTGCCAGGAGCCCAGTGCATGGCGGTTATTTCTGATTTAAAACCGGAATGCTGAGGTCAGTTCCCGGCAGGTGTGGACAAGGGAACCAGACGTGATGCCGTGCATGAGGACCTGTGTGTCCACCTCTTGAGGAATACACCTGGTAGCCAGGTGCCTTGGGAAGGCAGGACCTGGGCACAGATGGAACAGCCTGGCCTGTATTAGAGTTTTCCCAGGAGGGTGGGTTTTAGTCTGCCTGGGGAGCCCGCTCCTTCCTGTGCCCGTCAGTGTCCAGGAGTGCATTTCCTTGTAGTAAGATGGCAGCGGGCAGGGGCTGTGGTCCTGGGCCACCCACATGATGGTCCCCTGGGGCTGGGAAGCCCAGTCAAGCAGGGAGGACCACAGACAAGCTACCAGCCCACGGCCTCTTCTCCCAAGAGGCCACATCCTGAGGGACGTCACATCTCTGGGCGTCAAGCCGAAGTTTTCCAGAAACAAAGCAATTGCCCAGGGAGTGTGTGCAGTGGGGGAGGTGAGCCTGCTTTACTCCGCAGCGCCCCTACCCCCTCTCACTCCCCTTGAATCTGCATCCCAGACATACAGTAGGGCTTTGTCTGAGCAGCTAGCACCCTTTACCAAGCACAAGACTCCTGGCCTGTTCCAGAGCTTTCTAGCCATAGCCCCAGGAAGCAAGCCTGCCCAGATGGTGGAGGCTGAGCCTGCCGGCAGAGGGCAGACGGGACACGTGGGCGTCCTGAGCCATGGCTTGCTTCTGACCTGGTAAACCTTGATCAGAATGTAGGTTTTCTGCGCTGCTGGGGAGGCGCTATGCCCAGTTGGTGGGAACTTGGGCATCCTGCAGTCACCTATTTACACATGGTCCTCCCTTTATTACAATTTTATTATGAAAATCCACTTAAAGAGACAAACTATTTTAAGTGACTTTTCCGATTTTGGATCTGAAGGGAAGGTCTTAAGCTCAGAACCACTTAGAATGGAATCCAGGAGGCTGGGAGGGATAGGCCAGCCCACACAGTAGGTGGTGTGGGTGCCCCTCGCAGGGTCTGGGCCTGCTGTGCACCCCCAAATCTGCCCTCTACTTGAAAAGTGCACCCCAACGTGCAGGAGACGCCTGTGAGACCCAGCCACCAGGATTCAGAAACCGGGGCTCTGGCCGTGTAGAAAAAGTCTATTTCCCAGCTGCGCTAGCTGATTGCGTATAAAGTGTGTAGAGCCCGTCAGCTACGGCCCTCCCCATGCCCCTCAGGCGTAGAAGATGAGCTCGGGGATCTGCCCGCCCTGGACCCCGGTTCCATTGGTGCTGTCCGAGGAGCACTGGAACTGGAAGGTCACCTTCCCACACTGCACCTCCGTCATGCCCTCCTGCCCAAAGTAGCTGAGCTCACTGCCGTCCAGGACGGCGCTGGCCGTGTAGAAGGTGTCCTGCTCCACCTGCACGGGCTGTTCAAACCACACCGAGAAGGTGCTGCTGGAGCCGTCCGAGACGAACCTGGTCAGGTTCTGGGCCAGGACCACCCCCAGTCGCTTGAGCTCGATCTTCACGCTGTACTCGGCTTTCCCGGAGCTGGACCCGTACAGGCCCAGCCCCGCCACAAACACGCGTCTGTCCACAGCAAACTGGATACTGTCGCAGCGCCCGCGGTAGCGCCATTGATTGCTGCGGTAGGCGGAAGACTGGAAGCGGTGGCACCTTTGCGGCGCGAGGCCCTTCCTCTTGGTCAGCGGAAAGGCCAGCAGGGGCTTGTTGGTCGCCGTGTACCACAGGAAAATGTTGTGGGTCTCCTCCAGCGTCAGGATGTCCGACTGGGCGGCACCATTGGCAAACTCCTCCAGGGTCATGGTTGGGATGCGGACCAGATAGAGCGCTGGCCCCAAAACATGCCTTTTGTTGCGTGGTGTGACCGGCAGGCCCTGCCTCCTGCACTCCGCCTCGGCCCAGTTCAGGACGGCCTCAAACACCACCGCCTCCTTGGTGTTCAGGGCCTCCCGGGTCACAATGATTTCCAGTGTCTGCCAGTCAATCTCACAGAAGCCCTCGGACCTCAGGGCCATCTCAGCCTGCGCGTCGATGACCTCCCAGCAGCGCTGGGTCAGCTCGGGCTCCTCAAATAGCCGGCTCTGGGACAGCAGGACACAGGCGTTTTTGGCTTCCAGACTCGTCTCCAGAAAGTTGACGCAGGCTTTTGCTAACGCGGGGACAATGTACTTCTTGGCAGCGTAGAGCGTGGCCAGCACCGTGTCAGCTTCCAGGTCAATCTCATCACTGTACATGTACCTAGGCAGGGCGGGGACCATGTCACAGGCTGCATGGGGCACGCCGTGCACCCAGGGCTTGGGGTTGGGAGCCCATCAGCCCCTGCGGACTTCCGCTCCAGGATGCTGGCTGGGGGCAACCAGGCTGAGAGGAACCACCCCATCCTTGCAGCTAGTAGAGCCGACTTACTTTAGCAAGATCAGGAAAGCCGCAGGCTCCACGTCGGGAATGTGGATTTCCGACTTAACTTCTGCCAGGTCTCCGTAAAACATGGCATAAAAGACTGAGCTACCGACGGCCAGGACGTACTGTGGGTGAGAGAGAGCTGCCCTGAGCCTTGGGCCCTCCTTACCCCCAGCAGCTGCCACACCCGGGTAGAGGACAGTGCACGCTCAGGGGGTGGCCTGTCGCCTTTGGGAGCTGAAAGGGCCAAGGCTTTACCAACCTTGTGGGCAGGCACTCTCCGGGCCCCGCCTGGGGGGCCTACAATGAAGTGGACATCGGCCATGAGCTCGTTGTTGAACATCAGCGCGTTCCTGTAAAGGGGAAAGGCACACAGCTCGGGGCTCGGTTGGCGCGGGGCAGGGGCCGCGGCGGGGGGCGCGGTCATGGCCGGGCGCGGCCCGGGCTCACCTCTCGCGCAGGGTCGGGTGGAAGGACTGCCAGTTGGGGCTCTCCAAGTTGTTGTTGTCGGGCGCGGGCGGCGAGGGCGCGGGCGGCAGCGGGGCGGGTGGCGGGACGCTGGGCGGGCCCTTCCTGCCCGTGGCGGGGGCAGCGGCGGCGTTGCTGTTGGCAATGTCGGTGGCGGTGGCGGCGGCGGCGCCGGTAGGCGCGTACAGCTCCGCGGCCATCTTCGCGGGCAGGGCGGCCTCCGCGCGCGGGGGCGGTGCACCGTGCGCCCTCGCGCAGCGCCGGGGCCTCGGGGGCGGCTCCGCGAGCACGAGGAGCGCGGTGAGGCACTGCGCCACCCGGCCGTGCAGGCAGGCCAGGGGCAGCAGCATGGGGCCGCAGCGGGCGCTGCTCCCTCGCCCGGCCGCCTGCCGCCCGGCCGCAGGGGGCGCCGTCTCGCCTGCGCGTCACTCAGCGTCATGGCGTCCGGGCCCGCCCCCGGCCCACCCCGCTCCACACGGATGACGTGTGCGCCAGTGGACCCGCCCCGTGCGCACGACGAGCACGCACCAGTCCCGCCCCGTGCGGGCGATGAGGGCGTGTGGGGAGATGGGCTGCGGTGTTGCGAGAGGGACAGGCTGGGGCTGGTGGCTGTGTGACCCCAGCTGCTCGGCCCCTCCCTGTTCTAGACAGTGCCCTGCGGGAAGGCTGTGGGTTGAGATCAGGGCCCAGGGTGGCCTGCGCCGCCTGTTTCCGTGGGGCCGCCCTGACCCCACCAGTGGGCGAGCTGTGTCATGGTGCAGTGATCTGCATTTCCTTGATGGTCAGTGACTTCCAGCATCTTGTCACGTGCTTGTTGGTTTTCTCTGTGTCTTTGGAGAAATGACTATTCAAGTTCTTTGCCCACTTTCTAATTGGGTTTTTGTTGTTAAGGGGTTTTAGGAAATGTTAATCCCTTATCAGACACGTGATTTGAAAATACCAGGGGTGCCAAAAAAATGTATCCATATGATGTGTGTTTATTATTTGTTATTGGTATATATTGAGTGTTACAATTTTAATGCAGTTTTTTCCTTTTTTAAAACGTGTAAACGTTGTTTTGGCTCCCTCTGTATAGTTTCCCATTAACTCCTCGGCACCTTTTCACCGTTTCCTTTGCTACACCTGAGTTTTTAAGTTTGAAGTGTCCCATTTGTCTATTTTTGCTTTTGTTGCCTGTGCTTTCGGTGTCACATCCAAGAAAGCACCGCCCACACCAATGCTAGGAAGCTTTCCTCTAAGTTTTCTTTTGGGAGTTTTATAATTTTCGTGTCTTCAGTTACCTCTTTAATCCGTTTTGAGTTCGTTTTTGTATATAAGGGAAGGGTCCATTTTTATTCTCTTGCATGTGGATGTCCAGTTTTCCAACCCCATTTGTTGAAGAGATGCCCTTCTGTCTTCTGCTTCTTATGGGAGGTCACCGACAGTGTGTGGCAGATTGTTCCCGGGCCCTGTCCTGTCCCGGGTCTCTATGTCTGTCCTTACACCAGTAACCACTGTCTTTTTGGCTTTTGTCTTTTAAAGCTTTTTCCTGGTGGTGATAACTTATTTTTCATTACTCTTTTGCCTACTTTAAATACTTTTACTTTGTTAATTTTTAAATTTTCTACTTAATGTTTATTTTACAATTTTCTCTTTAACAAGGCATTTACGTCTATAAAGTTATCTAAAAGATTGGTCTTTAGTTTCCTAATAGTTTGCTTGGAGGTGAGGTGACTGTGTTTATCTTTTTCTGGCTGAGTTTTAGTGTTCTTGTGCTTGAGGTCAGAGGGCATGCACATGCTGTGAGAGCTCTGTTCTCTGGTTTGGTCCGGTCCGGTCCTATTGAGGGCTTCTTTGTTCTCTAAGACAGTGTCGGTAACTGTCCTTCAGACTTGGGAGAAGCACGTTTGCTGTTTGCCGGGTGTTGAACTTAAAATACATTTGTTAGGTCCAGCCTGTGGTGATGGGGTGCAGCGCCTGCATGCAGTCGTTTTTCCTCTAGTCAGCTTAAGTTTGAGAGAACTGTGTTAAACACTCTCATTAGAGTGCTTTGAAACTGTTTCCAGCATTTTATGCTGTGTTTAGTTCCCGCTGTATTTCCCTGTGTCTGTCTTACCTTCTTTAAGGTGGTTGTTCCCCTTAAAATGTTCCGCTTGGCCCTTTTCACGGCTCTCTCACCTTGAATCCCAAGCTGCCATGGCGTCACCTCCGTCTTCTGCGCTGCGTGACCTGCTTGTGTGTGTGTCCCAGCACAGCTTTTTCTTCTTCGCTTTTGCACCGTGTGTGTGTGTGTGTGTGTGTGTGTGTGTGTATGTCTTGTAAATAGCCTTTTTATCCAAGCTGATGAGAGAATCTCACTTAGGTCACATGATCTGAATTTGTGGGTTGTTACTTTCTTCCTTAGCTTTGTTCTTCCCTTCTCCCATTGAAATTCCCCAGTCCCTCCCACCACCACCCCAGTCTCCTGGTGTATTTTCTCTTGAAACTTTTACCAGTTTGTTTGTTTGTTTGTTTGTTTGTTTTTTAAGATTTTTATTGGGGAATTGGGGGAAGGGGAACAGACAAGTTGCTGTCCTTTTGTTCTGCAGTCTGGTTGTGGAGGATGTTGCTTCCTTGGCCCAAGTTAGCACCATCATTGCACTCTTCCAGGGCGAGGCAGATCAGTCGCCGGCTTCTGGACAGCCGCTCTCAGCGGCTGCTGGCCACTCACGCTGGCTGCTGGCTACACACGGTAGCCCATGGCAACCCACTGCTGCAGGGGCTGCAGCCTACACCGTTGCCAGTGACTCATGGCAGCCCAGCTCCAGGTTGAGCTGTTGTTCAGCATCTTAGCTGTGGAGGGCAGTGTCACTGGCCCTCATACATGGGAATCTGAACCGGGGCCCTCTGGCGTCCCAAGCCAGCTCTTAACCAACGCACCACTTGGCCAGCCCCTTTTACCAGTATTTTTAGACTTACATTTTTCTGTTTCAAGAACTAATCAGTGTTAAAGTCCCACCTCAACCAGGATGAGCTCTTTTAATGTGCGTTTAATCCCTAGTTCTGATGGTTTATGATTTATAAGAAATAGAAATCTTAACAACTATTGATATTTAATTTTAAAAATATATCTGTTTTCTCCCAATAATATCTTTTCTAGCAACCAGATCACCAAAAAGACTCCAAAGCAGTGTAAAACAAAGCACCCAGGGTAGTAGTGGGCTGTAGCTCCAGACTGCCCAGGCTCAAACCTGAGTCTGCCCCATGATGGCCACGTGGCCTTGGGGCCCGGCGGTCTCTGCGCCGTCTGCTCACGTGGAAAGGGAATAAGAGGTGGCAGCTGTCTGTGTTGGGTGGGGTGGGCTGGGCTGGACGGATGTTAGAGTCATGCTGGTGCATCAGCCGAGAAGCACTGCTCGCTGGTCAGTGTGGGGAAGTGTCACTTGGGTCCACGCAGTCTCTTGGGGACCCATGCTGCTTCAGGGGCCAGTGCCAATCTCTGTGGCCTCAGAAACCTTCTCTGGGTCCTATTTGTGAGCCAAGGCTGTCGGGACGGATCGCGGTGCTTATAGGATCTCCCAAGGCTTCTGGGGCCAGAGCTCAGTCATATAAGCCCTGTAGCTGCTGGGAGGCCGGGAGAAGTGGTCTGGCCATGGCCCACAAGCAGGGTGCCTGGTGCTGGCAGATAGCGGCATCTCATGTCACCTGCTCCTGTTGGGGGTTAATGAGCTCACTGACGCCCTGCCGTGCCTGCCAGGGTCTCCCAATCCGCTTCCCCTACTCCTCCGCCATCTGCCAGCGCATGTGGCTCCTGCCTGGCACCCCCACAAGCCTCAGCCCCAGCAGCCCCTCTTGAGCAAGGCTTTGCTGGAGGATCCTGTCCAAAGGTCTCGCCCCTGTGTTCTCCATCACAGAGCCTGCCACAGAGCCTGCGTGGCACCTGTGACAATCACAGTAATCAGCTGAGTTCCATAAGTGATTTCGTGGCGATGGCAGCCCCAGAGGCTGGGAACTCCGTAAAGCCTCCTATTCCAGAGCCTGGGGGACATGCAGGGGTCCCTCCTGAGCAGGCTGGCTTTCCCTTAGGAAGCAGTAGGCACTTACTCATATGTAAAGAGATGAGACACATGCCCATAGACAAAAGGGCAGAAGACAGAAGCTGACATTTCACAAGAGTAAATGCAGCAAATAAATATGTAAAACATACGCTTGACCTCACTTCTAACCCACGGAATGCCAAAGGAAGCAGCAAAGTATTGTGTGTGGGTCTGCATGCCCCACCCGTGCACAGAACTCACACTGCCCACTAGCCCCACGCCATCTGCAACAGCCGCTACGCAGGCATGCACTGAGGGCCCCCAGCTGAAGGTCAGGGAGGCTGCAAGTCCCAGGGCGGGAGGACCCCAGGGAGTCTGCACAGAATGATGGGAGGGTGGCCCTGAAGGGGGGCTGTGCCAGCCGACGGTGGCCAGGCAGCTCCTGCCCAGGGCCCGCACTGAGGCGTGTGTCTGCCACAGACCCCTGCCTGTACATCCCACGCTTTGCCCACCTGCTGGAGTTCGGCGACAGGAACCACGAGGTGTCCATGACGGCCCTGAGGCTCCTGCAGAGGATGAAGAGGGACTGGATGCACACGGGCCGGCGTCCCTCGGGCCTCTGTGGGGCAGGTAGGGGTCTCGCAGTCAGGTGGCCTGGCCGCTGGTGGGTAGCGGGGAGGCTCCACCTCCACCTGCTCCCCATGGGCCCCCACAGTGCTAAGGGGCAGGACTCTTAGATGCTTAGGGGACCCCAGGCTTGACTGCTGGGGCATGGTCATGTGGCCAGCCCTGCCCCCATACTGAGTCATTACTGCAGAGGGCACCCTGGCCCTCACGGGACAACTGTCTGGTGTCCCCTCTGGTGCCAGCTGCCCGAAGACAGTCTGCTGTGTTGCCAGTGCTGTCAGTCTGATGGAGCTCCTAGACCTGGAACTCCCTCCCAGGAGGCCCTCAGGCTGGCAGAGCTGTTGCTCTTCCTCCCGGCTGCTTACCCAGGGCCCCCCCTTCCCAGAAAATGAAGGGCCCCCGTTCCCACACTCATCCACCAAGAGGGTCATCACTGCCCTCGGTCCGTTTTCCATCCAAAGCCTGACTTGCAGATTGCAGTCCAGAGTCGGGCGCCATGTGCAGCCCACTCCCTTTTCTCCCCAGCCCTGGGCTGTGTCCTCAGTCCTCAGCTCCATCGCCAGCCAGTGTTTCCCACACAAGGCACCTCAGAGTGAACTTGGCTACTTTGAGGGCTTATATGAAATTCTCAAAAACATACTTTAATTCTTATATTTAACCATGGAGTGTGTGACCAGCATTTTTACATTTTGTAAAGCAGGGCCCAGTCGCACGGAGAGCAGTGCGTGGCTCTCAGTGTTGTGACAACCACACAGACCGGTGCAGCCACCACCCGCAGGGCGGAGAACCCAGCTTTGCTGGGAGGCTCACCTGGTGGGGCAGTGCCCAGGCAGGGGTCTGGCTGCCCACAGTCAGCCCCCTGAATGCAGGGTCTGCCCAAGTGTTGTGCTCTGCTTCCTAACCCCCTGCTGGGTTCCTTTCTAGCACTTCTGGTGGCAGCCAGGATGCACGATTTCCGAAGAACGGTCAAAGAGGTCATCAGCGTAGTCAAGGTGTGCGAGTCCACGTTGCGGAAGAGGTGGGTGACTGTTGCTGGTGGCCTAGGGCGGGGCTGCCTCCTCCATTGGGCTGGGCCAGGCCTGGGGGGCAGGGCTGCCTCTTCCATTGGGCTGGGCCCTCCTAGGGTCCTGTTCACTTCTGTCTGGGCAGGACACAGCACAGCCCCTGCAGAGGGCCCCGGTTATCCTTTCTGGGGCTGCACCAACATGTTGCAGTGGTGGCCCCTTTCTTCTACACCTTGTTCCTCTCTAAGCTAAGTTGAGGTGGACAGTGGTTTGTAAAGTTGCTCAGACTCACAAGGATCAGGAAGTGGGCACTGAGAGTGGCCTCGCCAGTCTCCTGCTTGGTGGGGCCTAAGTGACCAGTCACCTAGGGGAAGCCGAGCTCAGACGAGGGCCACGCGTCGTGTAACCGCGTGACCCATCAAGGTGCTGCTTTGGGGTGCGGAGTTGACGGGTGGCCACAGCTCATCTCCAGCCACAGCTGCACTTAGACTGTGACAGGAGGGAGCACGGGCCACTGCAGGTCTGTTGTCCTGCCCAGTCCACCACCAATGAGTCTGCTACATGTGACTGGTTTTCAACAGAGGTCATGGCCTGTGGCAGCTTTCAAAGGCAGATGGAAAATTATGTGCTTATTCAACTTCTAACTCTCTTCTAAAATTCTTTCACTAAACATTTTGAAAATTGCATGAAATATAGAAAGTTGACCGAGTTGGGGAGGGTAAACCTCCAGTCAGGCACACCAGCGCACGACTGCCCAGGCTGCTGGCTCTTCTGTCTCCTTCCGGGGCCTTATCTGAGCCTGTCTCGGGGAGCCACGGGGCTGCCGGAAAGCATCTGGGCCTGTGCCCCCAGCTGAGTGTGACCAGGGCTCTGGGCTGTCCAAGAAGCTGTTTCGTGCACAGGGTGCCGGAGTAAGTGGCTCTTTTCAGGGCCGTAGACTCTCTTTCACGTCTCTGTCTTAGGCTCACGGAATTTGAAGACACCCCCACTAGTCAGCTGACTGTGGACGAGTTTATGAAGATTGATTTGGAAGAAGAGTGCGACCCCCCATCGTACACAGCTGGGCAGAGGAAGCTGCGCGTGAAGCAGGCAAGCCCCCCCACGCGCCTGGCCGCCATAGGCCTGACACTCCACGTTCTTGTTCTTAGTCACGGGGTAAAGTGGGTCTGCGTGCATGCATGCGTGTGGGGCAGGTGATGGAATACTGCACACCGGCTCTGCTCCCCAGCCTCCCCCTCAGCGGCTTCTAGGGTGCCGTGGGCTGGGGGGAGGGGCGCTTCTCTCTGGCGCCCAGCTGCTAATGTCTGTCTGGAGGGCTGTGTGTGCGTCCCTCTCTGTAGGGGTGGGGGCCCGAGACACAACTCAGTCTCCCCATCCCGGCCCCGCAAGGCTGCTGCTGTTCACCCCTCGTCAGCGGTGAAGCAAGTCTGCAGCCAGGCCAGGGTTAGGCCCCACTGCGTCAGGGACAAGCCTGCAGGGGCCTCGCGTCGGGCCTGTTACTCAGTGTCGCTGTCCTCTTTGCTTTCAGCTTGAACAAGTCCTATCGAAGAAACTGGAGGAAGTTGAAGGTAACCAGCCACCCTGCCGCGCACATGCCCGGGCTGAGGAAGAGGGATTTGGTGCTTACTCTGTTCCTAACTTATTACTGCAGGTGAAATATCCAGCTACCAAGACGCGATTGAGATTGAACTAGAGAACAGCCGGCCCAAGGCCAAGGGAGCCCTGGCCAGCCTGGCACGAGACGGTGAGCCCACCGCATCCCCAACCCCAGGCTGCCAGTCGCCTGCTGGCCCCAGCGCCCTGTGCTGAGTGTCCGGCTGCTCCTAGGACAGACACCTGCCTCCCCATAGGCTCCAGCTCAGTCCTGAGCAGCTCCTGCAGCATCTGACTCTTCCTGACCGGTCCCCTGTCCCCGTTGCCCTGGGCTGAAGTCACGGCCCTTCTGGTTCTTGTTCTCTGATCAGGCCAGCCCCGCCTGCTGCCCGTGGGTAGAGACACGCCCACGCAGCCCACAGTCGGCCAGGGCACCGAGGGCTGTGAGCGATCTGGGACAGAGCCCTTCCTGTACAAGTGGTCTCCATTTCTCTCGGGATGGCCATGGCTGGGTGTGACTCCACCGTACACCCTGGCTCGTCAGGACCGGGAGCGAGCGATGTGCGTGTGGCCCTCGCGCTCCCGCAGCCACTTCGCTTGTTTCCCACGTGATCTCTAAGGTTGTCCTGTGCGCCTCCTGGCACTCTGCCCCTCCGTGGCTTGAGGAAGGTGGTGCCATCCCCCATCCCCCATCCCCCCTAGGCTGCACTGGCTGCTGGAAGTGGTGTCCTTCCTGCCCCTGTCAGCCGCTGCTTATTGGGGCGACAGTGACCTCCACATATGTCAGGAAGCCCATTGCCGCTCTTAGGTGCCCTCAGCTTATCCTGGGGTTTTCCAAGGAAGGCATCCCCACTCAGGCTGCTCAGACCACGTCACTCAACTTTACGGGGTACAAAAGCAGCACTTGTTTAGTAGAAACTGTACTTGGAAGTTTGTGTGTTGATGGATTGTGGGGCTAGCCACACACGTGGGTGCTGTTACAACACAGGCACAGGTGATGACCCACCCCCTGCAGTGCGTGGTGTGCCAGGCTCGTGGACGTCACTTCCCATCACGGCCACAGAACACCCGTCTGCATCTCCTGCGTCTGGTGAGAACAGGGCGTTTACCCTTGCGATAGAGTCCAGTCGCCCACTGTGAGTTGCTGTGCATTCCAAGCATGGTTAAGGCGGCTCGGCCACCACCTTTGTAGGTTAGGTGTATTCGGTGCGTTTTCAACTTAGAGTGTTTTATTGGGACATGACCCCATTGTCGGTTGAGCTTCTGTGATTGTGTCTTCAACAGGACCGTTGCTGCTCCTTACGATTTTTAGGCCCCTAATTTCCGTCCCTGAGTAGTCCATCGCTCAGCCCTTTGGTACCGGGCTATATGGCCCAGCGGCCCCACAAGGTCTCAGGGCCGTCCCAGGACACATGCGGGCTTAGGGCCAAGAGGCCACTTTTTCCTGTAAAGTGTTCACCGAGCCGTCCTGCCTTGGCACTTGGTGAGACCCTGTCTGCAGGGTCTGGAGAGGATGTAGGGCTTTCTTGGGTGGGTGGGTGCAATCCATCATCTCCATGGCGCCCTGCGTCTAGCCCGCCGTGGTTCTGGGAGGCCTGTCAGTTCTCATGCTCCTGTCTGTCCTATCTGGCCGGCCAGACTTTTTGCACAGAATTGAGCCAACTTGTATCTTATGATACTTTTGATTTTATTGTTTCTGTGATTTTCTTTCTTATTCTTTCATTTTCGGGTAGTTCTGTTTTCTGGGCTTTTTTCCTTGCGAGATTATTGATTTGCGGTCCCTGCAGCTTTGCATTGATTTATAAGTTCTGTGTTTGGCCCTGCGGCCCTCCTTCCAGCCTGTCCACCTGCAGCCCTGCCGGGCGCTGCTTACCTGCTGTCACTCTGGCTTTCTAGACAGCACACCAGGGCAGGGCAGGGCAGGGCAGGGCAGGGCAGGGCAGGGCGCCCCCTGACTGCCATTTAGCTGCAGCCCACTGTTGTGGTGGCAGGTGCTTCCTGTCACTCATGATCTCAGATTGTGTTTGTATTTGGGGCTCAGAGCTGAGTGAGGGCGTTCAAGCTTCAGGGGGCGGGGGCCTTTTGTTTTCTGCTTTGGTTGTTCAATTGTGTGTTTATCACCTCGTGACTAGGAGTGTTGCTGGCACAGTCCCTCCTCTGTGCCATCTACCACATGCCTGGCGTGGTTGTGGGTTGCAGATACCGTGGGGCTTAGGGCGGGGCTCCTCTGATCTAGTACAGCCCAGGCTCCCTCATCTGTGGGGTTGTCCTGTTGCCTAATGTCTCAGGTTTTCTGACCTTTACTTACTCTACCCAGTGATGTCTCCTGGACACAGGTGGCTGATGTCCGCTGCCCCGACACGGCTCCCACGGCTGGCATGTTTTGGGTGCCTGGCGCCCTGGCAGGTCTGAGCACTGCTCTGCTCTGCCTGCCGACCCCACGCGGCAGAGGGCTGGGCTCTGCATTCTGGTCCAGCCTGCAAGCTTTCTCTTCCTACAGTTGAATCTCGTTCTTCGAGGCCTTCGCTGGACCCCGCTGGTTTCATCCCCTGGTTTTCTTGGTGTCGTTGCTTCAGAATTCTGTTTCCTGGCCCGACATGAAGACATGATCATGCTCCTCCCACTCCTGCCTGCCAGTGCTGTCCAGCTCCAGCTCCTCCACACGTGTCTCTTCCTGATGAGGCCGTGGGGTGTCGCCCCCTTGCACACAACCTCCAGTTTGGTTGTGCAGATCACGTCTACGTTGTCAGGGTGACAGACACTTCATCCCGCCCACCTGGGATTAAGCAGGACACGACCAGCCCTGTGGGTCACGGAGCCTCTCAGCAGATGGCCTCCTGAGCCGTGACTCCCGCGTGTCCTGTCCTCTGTCACTCTGCCTTGTGAAGCTCTGCGAGGAGGGCGGCCAGGCTGGTGCAGGAGACAGATGTCTGCAGAGGGGCTGGGGTGTAGGGGAAGTGGCCATGGCAGTGGGGAGGAGCCCTTTTGCAGGAGAGGGTGTTGTGTATGTCCAGAGCACGGGGCTCTGGGACCCCGCAGGCACTGCAGAGACCACAGCCCTCCTGCTGCTGGCCCTCCTGTGGGGATGTCAAGTGACACCCATGATAATGAAGTGGGCTCCACAGTGTGGTTGACGGCATGGAGGGGAAGCACCATGTGCCAATGGGCCATGTCCCCGGCCGGCCTGGGTGGGGCACAGTGGGAGCCCAGGTGGGCTCAGGTGTCCTGGGGCGGGCTGTGTGGGCCGTGCAGGACTGTGGTTTCACATGGGGTCCAGTGGGGTTGCAGAAGGGCCCGCGCTGAGGAGGGACATGGTCCAGCTCCAGGTGGGGGAGTGGGGTGTCGGGCGAGAGCAAGGCTGCGCTGCAGGTGGTCCAAGGCTCGACCAGCAGGACGTGAGTACAGCTGCATGCCCAGCGCCTGGCCCTCAGTGGAGAGCCCTCAACACATCCAGGAGATTGCCAGCCACGTAGTTTTCCTGCTCTCAGGAATCTAATGGGTTTTCCCTGGGAAACATTTGTCAGACGTGAACCCCTCACATGACACTCAGTGCTAACCATGGCTTTAAGTGTTTAAATAATTGATAAGATGAAGTGTAGCCTTGGATAACTTTTTATTGACTATTGAGGTGTCATCAACATACGACGGTGGTCAGGCTTGAAAGGCTGCACTGGGTGAGCTGTGACATGCTTTCCCCTGTGAAACCCTCCCCATGATGAGGACAGGGGACACATGCATTGCCCCAAAATGTCCTCAGGTCTCTGTCATCTGACCCACCCAGCCCCAGCAACCCCTGCACTGCCTTCTGTAACTAGGAATTGTGTTTTCTGGAATCCTACACAAAGGGGTCGTGTAATGTGCACTCTGCTCCCTCAGTCTCACTGTTGCGTCACCATCAGCATCCCGTCCCTTTCCACTGGAGCAGTGAGTAGTGCCTGGACCCACCCTGATGGGTCATCTCATCCTGGGTCGAAGGACATTTGGGTTATTTGCAGGTTGGGACCTTTGCACTTGAGCACTGTGAGCGTTCTCATCCAAGTTTCCACGTGGATGTTTCCTCCCGTTTCTCTTGGGTCAAGGGTTGGCAAACTGCAGCTCACGAGCCACATGCAGCTCTTTGGGTACGTTCCGTCTCGAAAGTTTGCCAACCCCTGGAAGAGCCAATCCTGTCCCTCACAATTTAAAAATTGAGAGCCATAAATGTATGTTTACATAATCACCATTATGTGAATAATATCCTTTAAAAATTTTATAAATGAAACTATGATAGTTTTATTTTCATTTTCAGTTTTACTTTAGAGCCACATGTAAAGTTTTACTTTAGAGCCACACCCAAAGAGCCGCATGTGGCTCGCGAGCCATAGTCTGCTGACCCCTGGCGGCTCTTCCATCTCAAAAGTTTGCCGACCCGTCTCTTGGGTGACTGCTAAGTAATGGCTGTGGGGCTGAGGGAAGGCGTGGGTTTCCATCTTTAAGAAGCATCCGGCCGCTTTCCACATGGCCGCACCACATCTAGTCCTGCCTGGATCAAAGAGTCCCATCTTCCTGGGGGGGGGGGTCACTGTGGCTTTTCCAGTATCTCTGTAGGGGTGTGCTAATGATGTCTTACTTACCACCCAGACGTCCTCTTTGCTGAGGTCCGTTCACATCTCTGGTCCCTTTTCTCCTGGGTTCTGTTTCCTTGTTATGGAGTTCTGAGGGCTCTTTGTAGCTTCTTAATAGAAGTCTTTCATCAGACTGTGATTTGCAGTAAGTCTATGCATCGTCCCAATTTTGATGACACCTGACTTATCAGCGATTTATGGATTCTGCTTTTAGTGTTACTTCTGAGAAATTTTTGCCTAACTCAGAGTCACAAGCTTTTCCTCCACTGTTTTCTGAAGAGTTTGTCCTTTGAGCTGTTATGTTTAAGACTGTGTGACCCATGCTGTGTTAATTTCACACCATGCCGAAGTGGGCGGAGATGGACTGGAGGGCATGTGGGCAAAGGCGCCCTTTGTGACACCCACGTCTCCCAGTGGTGCATGGCGGTGCTCTCAGTCCCAGTTGTTCGCATAAGTGGGGTGACTGCCTTTTGCAGCTGGGTGGCAGTGTTTCTCTACACAGAAGTGGGCTCTCCCTGGCTAACTTCCTGGCTGATGGGCGGTGTATGGAATTGTGTCCCCAGGCTCCATCGAGGACACCACGGCCAGCTTGTTTGGTGAAGAGGACGCCGAGGATGAGGAGCTGGAGGCCGCTGCCAGCCACCTGAACAAGGACTTCTACCGGGAGCTTCTTGGTGGCAGCAGCTTGGAGGCGGCGGGCAGCCCTGATGTGGGTGGCAGGTCTCCCGCCCTAGAGTCCCTGCTCGGCCCCATGCCCACGGCGGCCAGCCTGGGCATCTCAGACTCCATCCGAGAGTGCATCTCCTCCCAGAGCCGGGACCCCAGTGAGTGCCCAGGGGTGGGGTAGGCTGGGGCCAGGGGGCCATCCAGCTGTGGGTCATCCCTTCTGGTCTGTGGAGGTGGAGGCACTGTTGTTGGGGTGCAGCTTCTAGAAGGTGGGCGAGGGCTCTGCCGGCCCCACTGCAGGGCTGTGTGAGCAGTCAGTGACCAGCATGTGCTGGCTGACACCCCACATACCAGCTGGGCATCACCATCTCGGGGGTCCTCGTCTGTTGGTCCGCCGGCTCAGGTCCTGGCCAGCCCTCCATTTGGTTGGGTTGTGGCCGCATGCCCCTTTTCTGCCCCCCCGTGTGGGCCCCCATAACATCTGTGCAGTGGCGTCCTGCAAATCTTAGCTGAGAAGTCATGGCCACTTGTCACAAAGGGGCCTGTGGGGACAGAGACCAGCATCCGTGCCCGTCCTTCTGCATTTGTCTAACCTGGTGCAAAATCGTTGGCTGAGGGCACAGCCCCTGTGGTCAGACAGACATCGCTTGCTGAGCTCCAGCAGTGACAGCCACTGAGCAGGGGGACAGTTGCTCCCACCCCACCGGGCAAGGCCTAGGATGCTGGCAGCTCCAGGACAAAGGCGGGTTGTGTTCCGTCACATCACTCCCAACAGCAGGTCCTGATCCTCTGCCAGGACAGTCCTCCCCAGGCCCCCCGCTGCAGAATGTGGGCCCTGCCTCGCTCCAGGCGCCGAGGGTTTGACCTCTGTGTGGAGGGTCCCTGTGAGGGGACACTGCTCCGAGAAGCTGTTGAGCTGCTTAGACGTTTACCACGTGTCTTGTGGGCCAGGCACGGCCGTGGGTGGCCATGTGCCTGTTCTGAGAGCGGTGGTAGTGTAGTGGGGTGAGGAATGGGGACACAGACATAGCCATCAGGTAAGTATATTAGGTTGTCCCAAGAAGGAGCTGCTGTGTGAGTGGAAACTGGGGTGGGTCCTGCAAAGCACTCGGCAGAGGGCATGCACAAAGGCTCTGAGACAGCAGGGATACCGTGACCCCGGAGTAGAAAGAAGCCATTCTGGCTGGAGCTAAGAGATGGAGGTGGGCCCCAAAGGGGTGTGAGGGTGCGTTGGAGCTCCAAGGGGACCCTCACAGAGCCTCAGCTGTGGAGTGAGGACGCGGCCGGAGAGCATCCCAGACAGCCTTCTGTGTGTGGGCTGCTACCTCCAGGACTTGGCCGAGGACACTGGGTGATGAAATGAAGGGCAGCAGACCGGAGGGGCCGCTCCGATTTCTGGGCCATGCAGATCATGCTGTTGACCCAGCTGTGGCAGGAGGGTAGCGATAGGTTTTGGGCACATCCTGAGCACGGTCACTGAGGGCTCCCGGGTTGCTGAGCAGAGAACTGGCTGACCCCTCCCAGTCTGGAAAGCTGCTCTGTACAGGATGCACAGGACTGCCATGGTTTGCCGTGCAGCCCCATTTAGTGTCCTGCTTCCTTGATGGAGGCCAGGACATAGGATCATCCCCTGTGCACACGTGGAGAGCAGTGCCAGCCCACGGAGGCAAGAAGGAAGTGGGGCTCTAGAAGGCCTTGGCCGGAACCGCAAGCCCTGTGAGCCCTGCTAGTATCTGTGCGCGAACGGACGCTGTGCTTCCCTCTAGAAGACACTTCTGGGGACGGCGAGCTAGACCTCAGCGGCATTGACGACCTGGAGATTGACAGGGTGAGCGCCGGGGCTCTGCGCCCTCACAGGGCCGGCGAGGTGTGCAGCTGCCTGCCTGTGCCCTGCGGGATGCATGGCCTGCCTGGGTCTGGTGGTGTGTCTCCAGTCACAGGGCCCACTGACCCAGGTGCCCACACCTCCTGGCCCCCAATCCCAGGGCCATTTGGAGGAGCTCTTAGCAGTTTCTGCAGTGTGCTTGTCCTCTAGCAGTGGGCAGCCTTCCCCTGCCTTTCTCACTCGTGGCACCTGAGCCCACCTGTTAGTCTGTGCTGTCTCTCCCCCTCAGCTCGCTCCCTTCTCGGGCCCTGTGTCCCTGTCATCTGGCTGGCCCAGCTCCTGTGCCCTCGGGGCAGAGGGAGCGCCATGGGAATGCAGAGGAGGCAGGTGTCCCCTTGGGTTGGAGGCGCACCCCTGACCGGTTACATGGGTGGAAAGTATGTTTGGCCGAGACCCAAGTGTGCCCTGTGTTCTGCTTAGTACATCCTGAACGAGGCGGAAGCCCGCGTGAAGGCGGAGCTGTGGATGCGGGAGAATGCGGAGTACCTGCGGGAGCAGAGGGGTGAGTGCCCGCCCACCGCCCAGGCGCCCTGGCTCCTGGGCCCTCGCTGACCCTGCGGCTTGTTGGTCTTTCAGAGAAGGAAGCCAGAATCGCAAAGGAGAAGGAGCTGGGCATCTACAAGGAGCACAAGGTGGGGCGCACTCTGGTGCAGGGGAGGCCAGCCTTTCCCCTCCTGGTGGTGTGAGGGCTCCCGGCGGGGCTGGAGCAGGCGGTGGGTGCCCTCCAGCCTCAGACCTGCGTCCCTGGGCGCCCCTCGGATGGGCACACCCTGCAGTTTCAGGGGAGCCTTGGGCAGGCTGCCGGGACTCAGGACCTGTGCTGAGGGCCCGCCCCTCCTCTGACCCAGCAAAGCCTGCTTGTCACGCCACCTCTGTCCTGTTGGCGGCCACAGTGATGTGGCTTAGCTGCTCGGTGTGGTTAGGCTGTGATGCCTGGCCACACCTCTGCGTCGGGGAGCAGTCAGGCCTCTGAGTGAGGCGCGACAGCCTGGCATGCAGCAGCTCAGGCTGTGCGCAAGGACCTCTCTGACATCAAGAGGAAGGAGGCAGGGAGGGGGGGCCCTGGAGCTTGCGGTCAGGGCTTGGGCCCCCCCCCCCAAGCCACGATGCGGGCTGCTCAGGCAGCCTGGTGGGCTGGAGAGACAGCATGGGCCGGCTCCTACAGGTGGTCTGCAGCTCCCACGCCCAGCACAAGGTCCAGGGGCCCCCACCTCCCTGCTGGGTGACATCCCCGGAGCACAAGGAGCACCCTGCTCTGTCTCTCCATGAGGCCGCAGGCCCAGGACGGTCGGGGTTGGCCTGGCAGGCTGTGGGCGTGTATAGCCGTTGCTGCCCGGTGGCCCCTTTGGCACTGGGCTGGGCTCCCGGCTGCGGGGGGAGGGCGCACGTGGGCAGGGTGGGCCTTGGCCCCGGTGGTCCGCTGGCCCCCGCTCCCACAGCCTGCTCAGCACCTCGCGAGTCCATGGGCTCCACCTGCAGACGCACAGGATGCGTGACTCTTGTCCCCGTGTAGCCCAGAAAGTCGTGCAAGCGCCGGGAGCCTATCCAGGCCCGCACGGCCGGGGAGGCCATTGAGAAGATGCTGGAGCACAAACGCATCTCCAGCAAGATCAACTACAACGTGCTCAGGGGCCTGGACAGCACGGGTACCAGCCACCCACAGCGGGAGGTCGTGCCACCCAAGGACAGCGCCGGCCCCAGGAAGCTGCCGCGCAGAAAGGTGCCAGCCCGCAGGAGCAGGGCGGACCCCGTGACCAGCCTGGGGAAAAGGTACCGTGCCATTGGGTGGGCTGCCGCGGAGGGCCTGGGCCCTGCAGGGTCCCGCGTCGGGGTCTGCTCTGCCTCGGAGCTGGTGGGCAGCCGTTCTACACCCGGAATCCCCTCTCATGGGACAGGCAGCTGAGTGCAGACCACTGAAAGGAGCCCCTGGGAGTGGGTGGGGAAGGTGAGAGCCGCGGCCATGTCACCTGACCGGGCTGGTGACAGCCACCACCCTATGCAGACTGGTCCAGACAGCTCTGTGAGGGCCCCTGCCATGCCCCTTGCCATGGCAACTCAGCTCTGTCATCCACACGGTCCTGGGCATGCTGGTTGCCGCAGGAACTTGCAGTCACCCAGAGGGTCACCCACCCCATCCTGTCATCTGTTGCTATCATTTTTCAGTCCTGACTCACCTGACTAGTGACATTCTCATTTGCATTTCCTTCCTCTTAAGTGAAAGTAAACATTTTTCATGGTTTTGTGACATATTTTCTGTAACTTGGCTACTCTGCTCTGTCATTCCCTGACTCCCCAAGTCCCTGAGTACCCAGCAGAGCCTGTCACCATCCAGTTCCAGAGACCCAGCTGACCTGCCCATTGCTGTCCCCGCGTTCCCCCCATGACAGGCACAGAAGCAGGCGCTGTGGGTGGTGTGGCCCCCCAGTTTCCCGGGACCTGGGAAGTGCTTCCCCAAGCTGGGTGGTCCCTGTGGACCCCTGGACTGTGGAGACCTACATCCATAATGGGGTCTCCGTCCTGCTCAGGTTGCTCAGCCTGCCCTTTGATGAGGCTGCACATGGCCCCCACGCCGGGACCCGTGGCACCCTGTCTGCAGCGTCCCTACTCTGCTCACCCAGCACACGAAGCGCCCTCTCAGGGCCCCGGGCACTCTGCCCGTGCTGTGGGGTGGAAAGCGCTGTGGGCGAGCCCCCATCTCTGGCGGACCCAGCTGCCTGCTGCCCCTCGGCCGTGCAGTTTGCCATGGAGACTGAGCGCTTTGGCAGCGCCCCCCCACGCCCACCCCACCGTCAGTGGCCACACGTCCGCCAGGCCACTGGCTGGCTGGGGACCCACAGGTGGGCTGGAGTTGGGGGCCAAGGGGAGGAGCTTGTCTTCCATGTGCTCTCAGAGCCCCAGAGGCCCAGCCAGCATGCCCAGAATCAGATATCCTCGTAAAATCAGAGGAGCTGAGCCCCAGCCCACGCCCTCCCCGCTGCCTTCATCCCACACCCCGCTGACCGCCTGTCCTCTCTCCAGCTGGGCTGGCCCTCACTAGGGGGCTCTGTGGCCGAGTGGGCAGGGCCGGCTTCCCGCCTCCTGGGTTCTGGTGATTCACTACCTCTGGGGCCTGGGGTCCCTGTAGGAATGGCTGCCTTGGAGCCTGGCCTGCAGGCTGCGGGCACTGCCATGGGCTTGCCCCATCCCTGGGCCACCGCTGAGATGGTGTAGAGGGTGAGGCCCCATGGCAGCTCTGCTGCCTGTCGCTGCTCAGGTGTCTTGTCAGCTGGCATCAGCTGTGACCCCCACCGTGTTAGAGGCTGTTGCAGTGTCCACTCCTGGTATTTGCAGGGTTCGCTGGCGTGCAGCAGTGGGGCCAGGCCTCGGAAGGCCCAGGACAGCGGGCTGTGTGGGCTGGGTGCACATGGGTGCAGCTCCTGGCAGAGCGTGGCCCCAGCATCTGCCCCCCAGCCTGGGGTGCGTGGGGTTTCTGGGCCTGGACGGCTCCCACAGGCCGGGCGTGGGAGCAGAGCCTGACTCCTCTGAGGTGGGGGTCCCACCGTCCCCCTGGGGCTGGCCAGTCATGTCAAGGACATTTGGTGTGCTCTCCCCTTGGTCCCTTGCAAGTGACAGTGTGGAAGGGCACCCTGTTTGGAGGGTCTGAGTGAGGGCGAGCAGGCCCAGTGGAAGGGGTGCCATTAGCAGAAGTCAGGGTACTCTGTGCTGTAGGGCTGGGGGATAGGTGGGTGGAGGAGCGACCAAGACACTCAGGCTGGAAGGAGAGGGGTCGCCTTGGTCCTAGAGTGCTAACCCCCTGCTTCCCTCCTCTGCTTTTTCGCAGGTTGAGGCCGATGGTGTCCATGCAGCCAGCTAAGAAGGCAGCCGTGGCGGAGGTGCGTTGTGTGGACACAGCCGGAGGCAGGGGCCTTGGGAAGCAACAGACCCGAGATAGGATGTCTGGGGAAGGCAGGCCATGACAGGGTGGGATGCCAGCTGCACTGCTCCCCACGGCTAGGGGCTTGGGGGCCCGGAGCCCCCCAGACAGGGTGTGCCTGCGTGGAGCTGTGCACCCTTCAGCCCTACCCCTGGCCAGCCTGCGGGCCACCTCCCTGGGCCATCTGGAGAGCCTCTGGGAAGGGAGGCCCTGACCCCTGTCCAGCCGTTTTGGAAGGTGGCCTTGTCTTGGGGCCAGGCCCTCCCAGGCCAAGGCTCAGGGGTTTCCCCTCCTCGTCGGTCCTCGTGGGGCCCAGGAGGTGGAACGGAGAAGCAAGGTGGGAGGGCCCCCCAGGGACCCCAGGGGAGCTGCAGGTGCAGGCTCGGGGTCTCTTCCTGCAGCGTGTCCCAGAGCCTGGCCCCCTCGCTCGCAGGCCCTGCTCCCCCGCCCCCCCGCCCTGGGAGCTGAGCCCGCGAGGCCCACGGTGGTGGTGGTGGAGAGCGGACCCGTGTCGTACCACGCCGCCGAGGAGGACGGCGAGGACGAGGAACCCGACGAGGAGGACGGCGAGCCCTGCGTCAGCGCCCTGCAGATGCTGGGTGGCGACGGTGAGGGGCAGGGAAAGGGCCTGAACGCGGCCTGTGGCTGCAGCCAGCCTGCTGCACCCTGGAGAGGAGTCTGACGGACGTTCCGTGTACTGGCCCTCGGTGTGCCGGGTGGAGCTGAGCTGGCCGGGAGGGGGGCCAGGCGAGTAGGGCTCCTGCCACTGTGCCGCTCAGCTCCCACATGCTCGGTGGGGAGACAGGCCCCCGCTGCCCACATGCCAGCACCTGCAGAGACAGACCAGAGTGGCCGTCCCCATCGATGGCGGTGGGGCCCAAGGAGCTGGGGTTGGGGAAGGGCCCCTGGGCACCTTGACCGCAGAACACTCCTCAGCGTCCACGATTGTCCTTTGTGCTTTGCAGATTACGGCTGTGATGGTGACGATGACGATGGGTACTGAGGTGTGACCTCGCGGCTGGCTAGTGTCCTGCTGGTGTCCCGCTGTCTCATTGGGGATCAGACGGGGCCTCTCGGGCTGGAGCCCCCAGGTGTGAGCGCCGAGACTCTTGGTGACGAGAGGGCGCTGCCCAGTGTTCTCCACAGTCCTCGTCCCACAGCCACGTGTGGCATCTATGGCATTTGCTGTGGGACCATGTTCTGAGCAACGTAAGGCGTGTTTCTCCCCAGCACAGGAGACTGGACCGATGGCTGCATGTGACTGGTCAGACGGGGTCTCGTGGCCCAAGAACCTTCACAGGTGGGACTGTTGTGTCCCTTGTGAGCACACCGAGGCCTAGGGAGGCCCAGCTGCGCGTCCAGGCGAGTGGAGGGCAGGCAACAGGGTCCCACTCTCGGCCCCTCCCCATCTTGCTGTCACGGAGAGAGAAGCACTTTGTGTCCAGCCCATCCCTCTGTGGGTCTGGCTGTCCTGTGCCTCCAGTGACAGTCCCCAGCCAGACCCAGGCCTTCCTGTCGCTGCCTGGGCCCGGAGACCACAAGGACCAGAGCTCAGGAGCCTTGGGGCTGCCTGGGTGACATCGTCACAGCTTGAGCCAGGACAGCTGTGCGCGCTTCGTGTCTGAGCTAGCATCTGGCCAGCACCCCGAAGGGAAGGTAGGCGGGGTCCTCGAGCCCGCCACATGCTGTAGATGGTCCCCATCCCCTGGACCCTCGTGGGGGCCCGGTCTTGTCATCAGAGACCCAGAGACCACTGTGATGGTCTCAGCTTGGGCATCATGGCTCTGGACATGGCCAGGGAGGGCAGGCAGGTGCTTCTGCCCCTCAAGGCCCTGGTCTTGGCTCCACCCCACGCCCCCAGGAGAGGACGACCACGGCGGCAGAGCCCCGCACACTCCTTGGTGGGCCCCACACTCTGTCTCCAGGGGCGGGCTGGGGCCCCTCCCAGAGGGCAGCAGAGTCTGCAGGTCGGGACTTGGAGGTTGTGTGTCTGCGCCCCTTGGCCTGCCCCTGCAGCCAGCCGGCCCCTGGGCCTTCTGGGAGGCAGGTGGGAATGGGTTCTGTGGACAAGAAGGTCTGTTACTTGAGCAGAAATCCTCAGGCTGTGGTCCGTGATTTTGCGTGTGGCTCCGTAGCGCGAGAGAGGCCGGAGGACACTGTGTTGAGGGCCGGGGTGGGGGGCCGTGGCCAGGCATGTCTGGCTGGAGCACAGGAGTCAAGCCCCAGGATGGGGGCAGGGAGGAGGGGCCAGTAGGGAGTGGCTGTCCCATTGAGAGGCTGAGGTGGGGAGCACTCAGCACAGGGTCCTGGAGCAGTGGGGACCTGCACCATGGACACGCGGGTGACAGGTGGTGTTGGAGCCACACGCGTTAGCAGTGGGTGACTGGGGTGGTGAAGGGGCAAGGCCAAAGGTGACCAGCCAGCAGCTGCAGGGTGGCTCCGGGGCGTGGCCAGTGCCACACGTGTAGGCCACACGTGCGGGCCCCACGTGCACCTCCATCCCACATCTGCTCGCTGCCCACTTATCCCAGAGGATGGCCTGTTCTTCAGGGCCAGGGACTTGGGGGTGGCCCCCAGCACTCACATGCTGTCTGGACCACTGCCCTAAAACCGGGTTTCTCAGCTGCTGGCCCAGGAGTGACCCTGGGGGCCAGGTTGGGACACCTCCATCTGCAGCTTTGCTGGGTGGGCGGCAGGAGGGGGCAGGACCCTGGGGTCCCCTGCCCCTTGGTGAGCCGAGCTGGGCTTCTGCCTCCACTCTGACGTCTCAGGGTCAGTGTCACTGAGATGCTGTGCTGGGGAGTGGGGGTCTGGCCCAGGGAGTCACCACCACCGGGGCATGCCTGGCAGTGGCCGTTTTGTGGTCTCTGCAGGGCGGCTGGATCCTCTTCCGTCCCGTACCCCGAGCCTGAGGCCTTCCCCAGTCACCAGGGTTAAGGCACGGGCTCCCCCATGGCTCCTGGCAGGTCTTTGGCTCCTGAGGCCAAAGAAGCACAGGAACTTGAGTGACGGCCCAAAGTCACCCAGCTGGGAGGTGGCCTCCTTGGTACCTGCCCTGACAGCCACCCCCTTCCTGAGGAAGTGGGCCCAGGAACCCAGGTCCAGCTATACCTGTGTTTGACAGGAGCAGGGGCCTCCCGGGCCTGGCAGGGACAGCAGGCTCTCACAAGGAGAGCACACAGCTGTCCCCCAGCCTCACCCACTTGTATGTGCCCTCCCATCTGTACACACGTGTGTCCCGACCCGCTCCTGGATGCACATGTCCTGGGGGTGCATGCAGGGGGCTCTGGGTGGACCGTGTCCACACCCCGGGAAAGGTGAGCCCATGCCTGGGGCTGCTGGTACTCCAGGTGGTCTGGTAGGGCACTGGGACAGGGCCTGCCCCTTACCCACTCCCCACAGAAGACAGGGAGGGGACGGGCCCAGGCCAGAGGCACCTGCCAGTCACCCACCCACACTGAGCTCCAAGCCAGAGCCGGGACTGCAGGTCGCCTTCCCAGCTGGAGTGAGCACCAGGGAGGCAGTGCCCACTCACTGCCTCAGGCCCCTCCAGGGCCAAGGGCGGCGGGTCTGGGGCCCCCACCCATCCACGGTGCCCAAGTGGGGGGTGGCCCACATCCTGAGCCTTTTTTGGAAGCCCAGCCCCCCGGAGCTGGCAGTGGGAATGCGGGGGGCTGGAGAGCAGGAGCACCCTTCTCTGTCCACCTCAAAGATCTGTGCACCCGGATTGCGTCTGTATAGTCTCTCAAAAAGGTCGGCCTCAGCCCTGCTTTCCAGCCCAGCCACCAGTCACCAGTGACTCCGACATCTCACCAGCCTGCTGGGCTTCAGGCCTTGCATCCCCTGGGCCTGGGCGCACACCTGTCTGCTCCCCCAGGTGCCCTCGTGCAGCCCTGCAGTGGCTTCTGGGTTGGTCAGCCCTCCGGGCAGGCAGTACGGCTGATGGCCACCACTGTTCCAAGACCACCTGAGGGCCCCTGAGAAGAAAGGTACACTGACACCTGTGCCTTGGAACCCAGCCTGAGCCCCCGCTGTGCCCTGCCAGGGTAGGTACCACCCCATTGGCAAAGCTACCACCCCACCACCCCTCCGCCTCGCCCTGCTCAGGACCAGGCTAGGGCAACAGCGACACGTGTCCCCCCTCCTGCATCCGTCTCTTGCCCCTTCATCTTCTCCCTGTCCCCCAGGCACCCCAGCCAGCCCCCCTGCAGGATGGAGCTCGAGTCAGCAGGCTGCGTCCTCCAGGCCCCACGGCTACTCCCTGGTGAAGTCCACTGGGGTAGGCTGGGCCGGTGGCCTGTCTAACCCAGGGGCGGCTGCGTACAGAGGGGTCAGCGGGCCCGCCCTAGGAGTGAGGGCTGCCCATTTTGTTTTGTTGAGGAACTGGGACGGGCCCTGGCAAAGGTGTGGAGCGCCCCCCTGCTCCCCGCCCCCCCCAGGCTGGAGGCTGCCTTGCAGGACAGACTCAGACTCACAGTTGGGGCTGCGCATGGACCCTTGGGGGTGGGGCGGGGTACCCAAGGATCACAGCCTGCTGGTCCTGCATGGTGACTGAGACCACACCCACGTTGTCGGGAGAAACCAGATCTGTCCCACCCCACGACCAGTTGCCCTCCGTTGGCCACTGCGGCATCGCCTTGGGCGGAGGAGCAGGCGCTGACCCTCCAGTGGCCCAGACTGGTCTCCACCAGTCTTCCTGCACCCAGGCCCCAACCAGGGTTCCCCGCACCCCAGAGATGCCCCATTCCACCAATAATAAAAGCAGGACCCACAAAGCCGCAGGCGCGCACAGGTCCTAGGCCGGGTCTAGTGATTTTCTTAGCATATCAAAGTCTTGAACGTGTCATCTTGTCACTGTAGGGCCTGCACAGGACTGCCCAGGGCTGCTCTGCCAGCAGGACCTCACCCTCAACGGGCTCGGCAGCTCTTCGTACTCTGCACGCCCACCTGGTGCCCTTCCCAGGCCCAGGACCCTTTTGCCTGGCAGCACAGTGAAGGCCCGTTTGGGAAGACCTCTGGGTTCCGAGTCCTGGGTACACGGATGAGCCCCTTGAACCCACTCCAGTCCCCACTCCAGGACTGGCCCAAGTTATTACAGCTGTACCCCTGGGCAGTAGTGGGTACCCAGGATCAGCCCCTGGGCAGCCCCTCTGCCTGTCCTCAGTCCTACACAAGACTGATGGCCCTTGCAGCCTTGGGTCGTGGGCCCCTCCCCCCAGCCCAGGTGTACCTGGTTGGCTGACACGGGCCCAGCCGCTTCAGGACACTCAGCCACCTTGCACGTGCACCCTGGCCCGTAGAGGGTCCAGTTGGTTCTCTTGGGGAGGGGCCCCTGAGCCAAGGCCCCCAGGCGAGTTGTCGCCCAGCTCTGGCCCTGTGTGTGGCCGGCAGCTTCCCTGACTGGTCAGTGCCTACGTGCCTGGAGGGTTGGCTGGTCTCTGGGGAGGCCTTGGTCCCAGCCAGGCTGGCAAAGGGTGGGGGCTGAGGGCCGGGCTCCAAGGCTGCAGGCCTCAGGCACCGACTGCCCAGGCCCTTCCAAGTGTAGCGTGGAGGCTCTGGCTTTCCTGCTGGAGAGGAACCTGGCTCAGGAAGCCATTGTCCCCACACAATAGGCCTGTGGGGGCCTGTGAGGGCAGTGGCCCCAGACTGGTGGGACTAGCCCTGACCCTGACCCTGACCTCAACCCTGACCCTGGCTCTCATCACAACCTTGACTGATCACCACTGACACTCCGTTCAGTGCCCTCTCACCGCCACCGTGGCTGACAGGCCAAGCCGTGGACAGCTGCTCCTATCAGAGCTGGGGACCAGGGAAGGACTGCACAGGTCCTGATGGAGGGGGCGCCCTGTGACCCAGGCAGGCCTGTGGGCAAGAAAGGTGGCCCCACGTGACAAGAGTATACTGCTGAGGCCCTAGTTGGACTGAGGCCAGAGCCAGAGGCTGTGCACCTCTGCCAGACAGCGGGGGACTGTCATTTCCTTGGTGGTGAGGGACCTTTGCACGGGCCTGAGTAATCACTTCGCCCATTCGAGATGTTGGTGAATGTGGACATTGTCTACCAGGTACCCACCTTGGGGCCTGGGAAAATGACCATCCAGCATGTCCCAGGGCCACTGAGGCCACCCCCCCCCACCTCAGCAGCAAGGTGGGGCTGAGCCAGCAGCTGGGGAGATGCACCTTGGGCAGGAGGCCATGGGCCAGCAAAGGTCAGACTTCAGCAGGACCCAGTGTCAGGGCAGGGACTGGCAGAGGGAGGTGGGTACCCGGCCGAGGTTGGGGTGGGACAAACGTGGGCATGTGGCTTCACCGGCCCACATGGGCACGTGCATGCATACACATGTGGGGGTCACAGGAGCCTCTACTCAGGCACAGACACTGCGTGTGCTGTCAGTGATGGGAAAACTAGAACTCACAGCTCACATCTGCCCATTCCCTTGAGGACCCCACTCCCTTTGGGTTCCAGCCCCACCAAAGCCCTTTAATGAACGTTCCCTCCAACCCCACAGAGGGCTCTGGGAAGTACACTGGCTTCCGGGGTTAACACAGCAAGCGTTGGCACAGCACTTACTCTGAGGTCACCTGGGGCCCTGGCAGTAGGAAAACCCGGCAGGCTGGTGGGGGGCAGGCGGGTGGGAAGCAGGTAGGGTCTGAGCAGGTGGGCCTGTGGCCGTATTTGAGGATGGGGAGCGGTGGGTGCTCAGGGCAGCAGGTGGGAGAGTCTGGAGTGAGGACAGGCCACACGGCTGGAAATCTGGAGCTCTCCCGCCTAGGGGTGGCTTTCAAGGCCCCCTCGCACACCGGGCTGGCGGGTTCTGGGCAGATTCTCCAAACCACCATCACTGGCCAGGCTTGGGACTCTGCTGGGGAGGGGTGTGGGGTTCAGATGAAGCAGGAGCGCCCATGCACACATCAGTGCACAGCCCCACCGAGCACCCGCCTTACCCAGCCCTGGGGCTCTGCAAGCGGGCGAGGGGCCTCTCGTCCTAGCCAGCAGGTGGCGCTGTAGGACGGCCCGGAGGTCGGGAGCCTCGGGTTGCGACAGTGCGACGAGGAAGGACCCTCCTGCAGGTTGCGTGTGTGCTTGTGGGGGACAGTGCTAAGGGCTGCCCCGCGCCAGGGAGGGGGTGGCACTTCCCTGGAAGGAGTTCCCAGGCGGATGGTTCCTCTGTCCTTTATATCTGCTCCCAGGGTGGTCCCCTGATGCAGGTGGGGGGGGGGCTGTGTGATCAGACCCAGGTGAACCTACTGGACCTCTCTGGCCCCTCCCCAACTTCAGCTCCATCTCATGGCGTCCCCAGGTGCACTGGGGCAAGGGTGGAGGTGGGTTCTGCTGGTGGCCAGTTCTGTGGAGTGGTGACATCCCTTGGTGGCACAGGGTGGAAAGGGTGGGAGGGATAGGCCCGTCCACAGAAGCGGGGGTTCAGGCTGTATTGGGGTGCAGAAGAGGCAGGTGAGCTGCCTACCTGGGGCCGGGGTCCCCAGGGGCTGAGGTTTTGTGCTGGTTGCAGTGTAGGGGGACAGCCAAGCCCATGGGTGTGGAGCAAGTGTGTGGCAGAGGTGGAGGTAAGTGGCCTGGCTCCATCCTGCTGGTTGCGGACAGTTAGGATTGGGGCAGGTGGACAAACAGGTGGGGATGGGGGGGAGGGCAGGCCAGGGCTCCTGGGAAAGGGGGCTCAGAGCAGCCCACCAGGTGAGGGCAGGAGGTCCCAGCAGGCAGGTGTGGGCCAGGGCAGCCCCAGGCAAGGCTGTCTAGGTGGTGAGTCACCACTGACCTGGAGACCCTGGCACCACAGGGGCGCAGACCACAGTGGCCACAGGAAGCAGTGCGGGCTGATGAAGGCCAAAGTCAGAAGCAGTCGGGCTCAGCACTGGGCAGGGGCACGGCAGGCCACATCTGCTGATGCAAGGCCCCGAGTCCCAGGCCCAGCCTGGATCGTCCACAAAACAATGCAAATGTGACCCATGACCACCTGGCTGTGCTGAGGAGGGCTCAGTGGGAGACGTCACGGTGAGCCAGACAGTCCCGGGAGGCCGCTGGCAGGAAGGACAGCTGCAGTGTTGAGGCAGAGTGGAAAAGGCAGGCAGGCCAATGTGGGCATGTGTCCATCTGAGGGTCCAGGCTGAGGACGGGTCATGGTTACCCAAGTTACCCAGGAAATGGGGTGCTCACGGCTCATGGCAGGGGCAGGAGGGCAGTTTGCAGGCTTGCCTGGCTCCATGGAGGGCATGACCTCTGGTCACTGAGCAGCAGTCTGGGCAGCGCCGAGGCCCTACCCTCAGGAACTGCAGCCCTTGAACATCCCCGTGCTCTGCCATGTCCGTGGCCACAACCACCTCCCAGGCTGGTCCTGCACCACCAGGGCCACACCTCAGCACCCTTCACACAGTACCACCATCACCAGTCACCCAGCCTGATCCCTGGGACACTAGCAAAGAGTCACCAGGTATGCCCTCTCCCTGCCAGGGCTGGCCTCCAACAGCCACCTTCTCAATAGCCACTGCCACCATCATGACCTAGTAGAGTGGTCAGGACAGGCGTGAGAGGCAGCTGGTGTCAGGGCAATGCCACCCTGTCCTGGCTGTCCCTGCCCATGGCCCAGGCACACCATAGGCCTCCCAGCTGTTGCGACTGTCTCTCTGTCCTAACTTTGCCCACCCTACATCTCCATCCTGGGGAGGTGCACCCACCAGGCCAGGGGCTTGTTGAGGGCAGGGCCTGCTAGCTGGTGGAGGCTGTGCCAGGAAGTGCTGGCAGAGGTCTGGCCTGGACAGATGGAAACAGGAGGCTGCTATGGGCCTGGGATCCAGTACTTCCCTCCCCTGCCTGGGCCTGCCAGGACCGGAAGTGGGCCTGGCCACCTCACCCTGCCCTGGAAGAGAGAGCCTGCCTCAGTGTCCCAAACTGCTCGGTTTCTCAGTCCTCCTCCCCCTGTGACTTCCTAATGGGGAGGGGTTGGGGGGGCAGATGCTGGGCTTCTTCCAGAAGATGCTGGACCCCACCCCCAACACACATCCTGCTACTTGCCCTTGTTGAACTAGTGAAAATGATTCTCCAAGTAATACACAAAAGAAACAGTTTATTCGGGGAAAAAAAGCAAGACCACCACCACATTGGGGAAAGGACACCTCCGACACGGAGCTCCTACTGGCAGCCCACGTAGAGGCAGAAAGACCCCGGTTTCCAGATGGCTAATCCCTTTATTATGATCTCGCCCCCAGAATTACCATAAGGATGAACGGGAAGTCAGGATTACAGAGTTAACAAGGGGCTCAGCCCCATCCATAGTCCTCCCAACTCTATGGTTAAGCATCTTAAGATGCCAGTTCACTTTATCACCCTGGTTACAGCTCTGCGCCTGCCTCACAAAACCTCCCAGGTTAGGGGTGGAGAGCAGGGCGCACCTGGCCCCAAGCCAGCTCAGAACGGACTGCTGACCTCAGCTCCATGGCTCAGGACTGGGCAGGGACCCCCACTGCTCCCTTGCAGTTGGCTCTCTGGCCTGTCCTCTGCACACTAAGCTGCTCAAGTGCACTGCTGTGCCCAGGTACCTCAGGAGTCCCCAAAGTGGAGGCCCTGGGGAAATACGGCCCTAGTTAGCGTACTGGCACCTCTCAGTCTCCGGGGACAGGCCTACAGAAGTTACAGAGGGAGCTGGAATGGCACCTCTCCCTTCCTGATGGTCCTGCCCAGCGCAGACTCTCCCCAACACAGGCGTGAAGACCAAGCTGCCCCCTGGGCACAGCGAGCTGCCCGCATCCCTCCAACTCGCAGAAGCTAGGGCGTGCGGGGGCCAGCAGGGCGGTCCTCCGGGGCTGTCTTTCCACCCAAACGAGGTGAAGGAGGCGCTGCGAGGCGCCGTCATGTCCCAGCAGCAGGACTTCTGATGTTTTATGTGGGAAATGTCAAACATCGCGCCCTCTCCGAAGCATGGCTTCATCCGCCGCGCAAGGGCCAGACGGGCGGCCCGGTGTCAGGCTCCAACACAGGGCAGACCGCGTGCGCGCGAGGCAAGCCCGGGGCCAGGGGTGTGGCCGGGGCGGGGGCGGAGCCGCCCCAGCGAGCTCCCGGATTGGTCCTCGAGCGGCCGGCGCGCCGGCTCCCCATTGGCCGTCAGCCTGCGGCGCGGGACGGCCGCCAGCCCCGAGCTGCCGCGGCGGGTCCCGAGCCGGGGGAGCCCGCAGAGTCCCCGCCGCGAGCAGGGCCTGGCCGAAGCGGGCGTCCGCCCCCGCGCCGGGTGCCGCGGAGCGGGGTCTTATCAGCGCGGGCAGCTGGTGGCCTGTCCGTGCGCGAGCGCCCCGGCCCAATTCAATGGCCATTGTCCGCCGGCCCCTTTGTTCAGGAGGCGGCCACTTCCTGCGGGGCCGGGCTGGAGCAGGCGGGCGGAAACGCTCCGAGCCGAGGCCCAGACGCCGAGGCCGCCCCAGCCTGGGGTCAGAGGCGACGGCCAGCCCCTGGGGCGCCCTGGGGTTGGGGCTCTGAGCCGGAGGAGGGAGCGGCGCTGGGCTCACTCAGCTCAGCGCTCTCCTCTGAGTGTCTGCCATGGGCGCAGCGGGCGCTTAGGCAGTGGGCCCCCTCCTGGGGCGCCACGGTGGGAATCCCGTCGAGCTGGGGGAGGGCAGCCGAAGGCGGAGGGAGGTCCTCAGGTGGAGGGTGCCTCTCCCAGCCTGCCCTCCGCCCCTGGTCCCTGGCAGAGGGCGACAGGCTCCAAGAGGTCGGTAACAGCGTCAGTCAGGACTCAAGTTCCGGGAGATGGAAACCCAACCCCCACTGCCTCGCTAAGCAGGAGAAGGAGCCCATTCGGGACTCGAGGCCGGGACGCAGGAGTGAGGGGAACAGGGCCCCGGGTGCTTCATCACCTGGGTCAGACCTCCTGGCCCTCCTTCCCGGGACTGGGCGCTGCTGTGCCTCGCACGGGTCGGCCGTCTCCTCGGGGCGCTCACCAGGCCTCGCTGTCCGTCATCCCCTCGGCTCACCAGGCTCCACGGGCCGGCTCGTGCAGCACTCTGATTGGCAGGGCCTGGGCCACGTGCTCACCCCGCCGGGAGGGGTGGGAGGTGGGAGGCCGCCCGCAGCAAGGTTCAGCAAGCCTCGCCTAGCCAGTCGAGGCACAGACCTGTCTCCCACCCACGCAAGGGGTGGTCCTCCCGTGGTCAGACCTCAGCCCGCCCTCTGCCCAGTGCCTTAGCATCTCTAGCCACTCCTTCCTCTGAAGCCCCCACACAGCCCTGCCTGCAAAGCCCTCCCCCAACCAAACCAACTCAATAAAAGAAACCCACCACGGGTATTTCAAATGGCGGGATTTAATATGAGGAATTGGTAACAAGGGCTTGGGAGAGCTGGGGGAGCACCAAGAGGACAGTTGGGCTCCCCGGAAATCCAATGCTGTAGGAGGCTGCTGCCTGAGGCCAGAGGAGTAAGGGGAGAGTTGTTATCCGGGCCCCACAGTGGCTGTGTCCCCACAGGGCTGGGCTGCTGGCGGTGGGCGATGGTCCCCCTCTGAGCGCCTTAGGTCTAACATGAGAGTTCATGCAGATGGCACGAGGTGTCAGATGGAGAGAGCCCAGCACAGCACTGGACCTTAGTAGGCGCTTTCCAAGGGCAGCGAGTGTTTATGAAGGGCCTGGGTACCCACCAGGAAAATGGGGAGCCCTGCCACCTGGTGCCTTAGCCTGAGGAGCTGGAGGTCACAAGGTCCAGGAGAGGTGTTGGGGGCCTCAACTTGAACCCATCTGAGAGGCCAAGTGAAGACACGATGTGGAAAAGATTTGGGTGGAAATGCACATGAAAACCAAGCGGGGGGCCCCAGACCCCACGCAGGTGCTTGTCCTGGGAAAGCAGGGGGGAGGCAGGAGGCTGGCAGGCAGGCCCACCTCACACCCCTGCTGCTCCATCGCTCCGTGGTGGGAGGCGTGTAGCCGGGGCACTGAGGCCTCAGCAGGATGCCATGTGGTCCAGAGGGCAGCAGCCAGCCACCTCAGCCAGGCTCCAGCAGCAGGGTGTCCCAGCATAGTCTAGTCACGGCCACACGGGCCAGCCCCACGCTGGTGTCAGGGATGCCCGAGGAAAAGGGCCACATGTGTCCCCAAAGTAGGGAGGTTGGTCCCACCATCTCCATGCTGTGTAGCCGAAAGGGGAAGGGCATGGGGTGGGAGGAAAGTGTAGCGGGGGTAGGACCCCAGAGCTGCAGGGGAGAGGTGGTCTGGCCATAGCGGGGTTTTCGTATGGGGGTGGCGGAAGCCTCGGGGGTAGACAGGAGGCTGCTCAACCCAGAAAAGACCCAAAGGTGAGTGGCCACAGGGAGGGACGGTTGGCTGGGGTGGTGGCCGGCTGCTTCTGGGTCACATGCGCTCCCCTGCTCGGGGACTGCAGAAAGGCTGAAATCCAGAGGATGGAGGTGGCCTGCAACACACATCAGACCTGTGGGTGTTGGTCCCGGGTTCTCAGGAACGCACCCGCTGAAGAGCCAGCAGGGTGGAGATAGGGGGTCAGCATCCTTACTGTGTTTCTGAAGGAGGATTCATTGTGAGCCTGGGCCCCGCGTCACCCACCCCTGCCCCCCGATTCCCCCCCGCAGTGGGAGGTATGGGTCAGATCTCCTCCCCGAGGCCTTGCCCTCACAGCTCTTCTCCAGAAGGAAAAGACCCCAGAGAGTGTCCTCAGGATCCTACTGCTACCACCAGGGCCTGTCCCCACCCTCTGAGCAGGTCAGATGTCCCCTGGGCCATTCAGGACATCTGCCACCCAGGACCCACTGGTGGGTGCCGGGCACCTTCTGATTTGGCCCCTGCATGGTGGCCCTCGTCAGCATCACGGCTCAGCCTCCCCACACCCAGGGAACCCCTAGGCCCCCAGACTGTGGAGGAGGCCCAGACATTGCATCTCTACCTTCCCTCGAACCTGCTCCCCTGCGCACAGCTCCCTAGATTCAAAACACAGCACACCATCCCTGACCTCTTGGGAGCAGAGAACTGCTGAACTCTGTGCCCCTAGAGAAGCTCTCCTCACGCCCCCGCCCCCCACTCTGCTGGCTCCTGTATAGCTGTCAGCACTCTGGCAGGAGCCCCCTCCTCCAGGAACCCCCCATGTTGTCTCTTAGCCCTGCTGCTATCTGTCCAGCTCAGGGCCCTCTGCACATATTCATGCTGCTGGGGTTGAGCTGACGTGCAGGAGGCGGGCAGGGGCTTGGGGAACGGCTGGTGGACCCTTGCCTGGCCCTGGGGGTGTGAAGATCTGGGGGCCCCAGTCCTGGCAGACTTGGCTAGAAACTCCTCTATGTGGGAGGTCTCCGTGTGAATCACTGCTCAGGCACAGGCACAAATGCAGGAAATCGCCATTCTATTAAACTCTATTTTCTCCCACTGAGGGGAAAGTCTGTCACACGAAGGTCATTGTTCCCCGGGCTCCTGCTTTCCGGGCGGGCTAGGTCTGTGATGGGGCTTGCGCGCTCCTGGGGCTCCTGGCTGAGCTGTTTCCCTTCAAGACCCTGGGGCGCCTAGAGGTTGGGAATGGGGGCCTCGGTCCGGCCACCAGCCCGAGGGCAACTCCGACAGGCACGCCCAGGACTGCAGAAAGGCACGTGTCTGGGTCCCAGCAAGGTCACAGCCAGGGCTCAGCACGCCGATCGCAGCTCTCTGCCTGCCTCTGGACCCTAGGGGTCTGTCCCACACCCCATTCCACCCTTCTCTCTATTCCTTAGGAGAGCCACCCCAACCCATCCTGCACCCCTTCCAGCCTTCTAGGCCTGACCACTGGGCCTGGTACTGCCCTGCTGCCCCCAGCTCAGCTTGGCTCTGGCCTGCATGGGACCCTGTGTCCTGGGGAAGCCCTGCCATGATTGGGGGACGGGACTGGGCTGGGAAGGAAGTCCAGCCCATGCCAGGCCCTAGGGGCAGTGGAGAGGCAGGCAGCCCAAACCAGTACTATGTGGTCAAAATACACACTTAAGACAATAGGACACACACGCTTAAAAATAAAAGCTGGAGAATTTTTAACCAAAGGAAAGCTGGGATAGTCATTTTAATAAGAATGTAGATTTTAAAGTAATTGCATCACGAGGGACAAAGAGCAATATCAATACTTTAGAAATAAAGAGCAGATAAAAAATACAACATGTATGCAACTAAAAACATAGCCTCAGAAGATACACAGCAACAGATGACAGCTGAGCCAACCACTGGAGCTAGAGATGGAAACACTCCAAGTCCCCTCTCAGACATGGACAGCTCAAGCATCTACAAGCAAAGACGCGGACAATTTGGATAATGCAATAAGTACAAAATGCACACTCTTTCCTAGTGCAAATGGGACAGCAACACGTATTAGGTCACAAAAGAGGCCTCATAATGGAAAAAGCCACAATGGAAGAGAGCAGACAATGAAGCCATGCCTACAAAGTGCTGGAGGAAAGTGATTTGCAACTGAGACTACCGTGTTTCCATGAAAATAAGACCTAGCTGAAAAATAAGCTCTAGCATGATTTTTCAGGATGCTCGTAATATAAGCCCTACCCCAAACATAAGCCCCCGTTAAGATAATCGGCTAGACATGACTGTTTGAATAAATATAGATTTTTGTACATGAATAAATGAATAAATGTAGATTGTTGGAGCAAAAATTAATATAAGACCCGGTCTTATTTTCGGGGAAACACGGCATACCCAGCCCAGCTAGCATTCAACTATGAGAGTGTAATAAGGACGTTCTCAGACAGGCAAGGTGTTAAAAGGTATCTTCCATGCACTCTACTACTGCAGGAAGTGCCCCATTAAAATGAGAATGTAAACCAAGAAAGAGAGAAGGCTGGCATTCGGACCCCCAGCGTCTAACACAGGAGCCAGGGGAAGTGAGTCCCTGGGGGGTTGTGGAGGGTGATGTCTGTGGGACCGATTCAGATTACACAGTGTGACACAGAGATGGCACCTTGGGGCAGCTGAGGATGTAGGTTCCCCCAGAAGTGTCTGCTTTGACCGGCTCCTGACCTACACCTGAGGACTAGGAGAGGGCCCTGTGGGTTTAGAAGCAGAAATGCAGAGCAGCCCAACCCTCAGCCCTGCCAGATGCCCAGACTGTGGAGGGCTTGGAAGTCCCTAGGTCATGTCCCTGCCCACTGATGGCCCCAAAACAGCTCCTAGGAAGTCAGGGAGGCGGAGGCTAGACCCAACCTGGGCTCTGCCTTAGCCTTTCATCTGGGCCTTCAGCTGACCAGTTTATCCTTTTGGGGCCTTCAGCTGACCAGTTTATCCAAACAAAAGAGAATCCAGCTCGGGGACATCCACTGAACATGAAAAAGGCTCAGCAGACCTCATACCGTCCAGAGGAAGTGACTGGCGGGAGCAGGCCCCGGAAGCTTCCAGGGTACCAAAGATGTGCCACTTTGAGCTCTGGCTCCTGCACACCTCCTTTACTGTCATTCTTTAGACTGTACATTATACAAATACACGTTATGTGTTCTGCACATGACACTTTGCACATCTAAGCGTTTAAAATTCAGTGGCGCTCCTTCACCCCAACAACAATCAGCAGGAACCTGGCGGAAAGTGGGACGGCAGCACAGGAACAGGGCACGGCCCACAGGGCTCAGGCTCCCAGGGACATGACCGTGGTGTCAGTAAAGGGGAGGGGTGTCTCTTTGCAAATGAGGAGGAAACCCCTGCCCAGAAGCCCCCATTGTGAGACCAACGACCATCTGCTCAAGGTCAGGGCCACACATGGGAGACACATCACCTTCCCCGAGCACACACCACGAAGGTGACTGCCCCCAACCCTGGCCAGGCCTGTGAGGAGCAGAGGTGAGCACAGAGGGGGTATAGGAGGGGTGTCATGGCCTCAGCCTCACAGCCCTGGAGGATTCAACTTTTCTCCACAGATGTGTGCATACATACACACAGGTGCACACATGCATTCACACACACATGCACACACATATATGCATGCTATACATGTGCACACACACATGCATATACACGTGCATGCACACAAGCATGCATATACACAGGTACATACACACATGTACATAAACACACACAATGCATGATATGCATGTGCCCACACATGCACATATGCAATGCATATACACATGTAAACACATGTATACACACACACATGCATGTACACACATAGGTGTGCAGATACACACTTGCATGCACTCACTCGTGTATACACATGTGCACACACATGCATGCACACAAACGTGTATGTGCACACATGTGCGAATATGCACACGTGCAAATATGCACACATGTGCATGTATGCACACGCACACATGTATGCACATGCACACACATTGTTCACATGCATATACACAAGCGCAGACGCACATGTACGTGTGCACACACATGCACGTGCACACACGCGCGTACACATGTGCATACATACACATGTGCATGCACATGCACACACACCTTTCCCTCTTCCAGTGTGTCTGCCTCGGGACCTCTAGCTATGTCAGGACTGGGTGTTCCCTGTATGAGTATGCACACTTAGTAGCTCATTAAGATGTGCTTTCTGCCCACATTTCCGTCCACATATAAGTTGCCTTTTTTCCCTCTTTCCTTCTCTGATGGCTAAGTGTCCTGTTAGTGTGGCTGGGCCCAGGTGTCTGCTATTCAGCGGGACACTATTCTGGGTGTGCCTGAGAGTGTCTGGATGAGGTTGGCATCTGGATGGGCAGCCTTGCCAGCCAGTCTGTGGGGCCCGGGCAGAACAAAAGACAAGAGTGGAGATAGCTCTCCGCCTGATGGTCAGGCGGGGACACAGGTCTCCCACCTCTGGACACGGGCTGGAACCACACGGCCGGCTAGGGGCAGAGTTGGGGTCTCTCAGCCTCCACGACCCTTTGAACTGGTGCAGGAATCAGTGAAGTGCACAGGACAGAAAAGGAAGCCTGAAAGCAGACTCCTGGGCTCCTGCAGGTCTGGGGACCTCCGGAGGACCTGAACTTGAAGCTGGAGGCAGGGTCAGTGGACACTCCGTTTGTGCGGCTCAGGCCAGAGGCTGAAGGCTCCCCTCTGGAGGTACCAAAAGGCCCAGAGAACCTCCCAAATACTGAAACTTGGAGCGCCACAAAGGCACTGCCTCTGCCTTCCCTCCCCAGGTATGTCATGTCAGGAAATGCCTGACCAGTATCCTTACCTCTCTGCACGAGACCGTCTGTCACCCCTCTGGCAAAAGACTGAGCCCTGGAAGAAGCTGATGTCCACCTGCCCAGGCTGCTGGGCACTGCCCCGGGAAGCCCTGCTCACCCTGCTACCTGGGCTCCCAGGCCCCTGTCCCACAGAAAAGGGAGGTGGCAGCCAGCAGGAGCCTCCTGGGTGTGCTGCCGGCGCCCGCCCACCCGAGCGGCCAGTCCTCCCACTGCCCCAGCAACACTAACCCGGCCCCAAGGCCCCGCTGGCATGGACCCTCCTGACACAGGACCCAACCGGTGCACCTCCCATGTCCACATCTTGAGCCCCAGAATATTCAGCAAAGATATGATGAAGTGAAGGATGCTGAGATGGGAGATGATGCTAGATTATAAGGTGAGCCCAATGTCTTCACAAAGGGCCTTATGGCGGGGGCAGAGTAGAGATGTGACAGTGGGAAGCAGAGTCAGGGAGATAATGGGGCTGTGAGGAGAGAGGAAGGGGCCGCGAGCCAAGGGTGTGGACGCCTCTAGAGGCTGGATAAGGCCAGGATCAGCACCCACCCCCAACCCCCTGGAGCCCGCAGAAGGAACGCAGCAGGGCCAATGCTGAGTGAGGCTGTTGGACTTCTGCCCTAAGGACCACAGGATACTAAGTCTGTGCTGCCTGAAGCCTCCGAGTTCACGGTGGTTTGTTCATGGTGGCACAGACACCGGTCTCCGCGTCCACTCAGTCCTCTCTCACTCTAGCCCTCCTACCTGCCCTGGCACTCAGCTCAGCAGGGTCTCCGAAGCCACCATAATACCAAACCCAGTGGTGGTTTTTCACTTTTCGGAGACCCTGCGGCCCCTCTCTAACCAGGCCCCAGCTCCAAGCCGCTGGTACACACTACTGTGTTTCCCCTCAAATAAGACCTAGCTGAAAAATAAGCCCTAGCATGGTTTTTCAGGATGCTCGTAATATAAGCCCTACTCCAAACATAAGCCCCAGTTAAGAGCGTCAGCCAGACATGACTGTTTGAATAAATGTAGATTTTTGTATATGAATAAATGAACACATGTAGATTGTTGGGAGCAAAAATTAATATATGACCCAGTCTTATTTTCAGGGAAACACAGTGGGGGAAAAAAATGGCAGGACTCACAACTCACTCAGGAAACTTGCCCCTCGCCCCATGGCTCCATCCCCAGGTCCGCGGTTAGGCTGCAGTGGCCTGGTCCTGGCCCAGCGGGAAGGGCCCAGGCGTGTGGAGATGGGGCTGGGTGGCCATGGCCAGCATCAAATGCTCCTATACAGTCTTGCTGATATGTTTTCCTTTAAAAAATCGAACTGAAATTTGCATAACGTTAGCCCTTTTACTGTGTACAGTGGCATTTAGTACATTCATAACAGGGTGTAACCATCACCTCTGTCCAGTTCCAGAACATGTGCATCATCCCCAAAGGAAACCCCCTCCCACTAAGCAGTCCCTGTGCACTGTCCCCTTCCCAGCCCCCGCAGTTCCTGATCGCTCTCTGTCTCTGTGGATTTGACTATTCTGGGCATTTCGTATGAATCGGTCATGCACCTTGTGACCTTCTGTGTCTGCTTCTCTCCTGCAGTGTAACAGCAGGGGCGTCGTGTTGGAGCAGGTGTCAGAGTGCGGTTCCTCCTATGGCTGAGTCGTTTTCTGGTGTATGGCCGGCCCACAGGTGTCCATCATGTGTTGATGGACAGGTGCTTTTAGCTGCTGTGGACACTGATGCTGCCATAAGCATCTGTGGGAGTCCATTCTGGTTGCTTGGAGTACATGGAACAGTGGGATTGCTGGGTCATGTGTAAGTCCATGCTGAACTTTCTGAGGACCTGCCAGACTGTCCCCACGGGCGGCAGCCTGCTAATATATGGAAGGCACCTAAGTCCTGCCACCCACAACACCAGCCCTCAGCTTGTGTTATTATGAAAATGTCATTTCCCCCCAAGTTTGAGGAAAGCAATGCCTTGTGGGGATGCTTCCTGGGCGGCCCCCTGGGCTGGCCCTGTGCTCCCCCTGGGTCTGGCCACTGCTGGGCAAGCTCTGTGGTTAGTCCTCACTTTTCACACAACCACAGGCAGGAAGTGGCCTGTGCTCCAGGGAGGAGGCACCCCTTGGCCCCATGTCTGGAGGAAGAGGCCTGCCTGGCAGCTGGGTGGGCCAGCTTCTGAGATGGGCTCTCGGTGGGCAGTCTGTCCAGCCCCAGAACACCAGGTGGCTAGGGCAAGGCTAGGAAGCACCACCCCTACTGGGGGGTGGCAATGGCTAGTCTCCAATGATGAGCCCTATGAACCATCCCTGCCAGGGCTCCCACCCTTCTGAAGACCCCTCCCCACGACTTTCTCTGTGACTCACAGGACGCAGCAGAAGTGACGCTGCGTGACATCTGAGGCTGTGTCATGAAAAGCCTGGCCTATGGCGGAGTGCTGGGGGAGTTGGCTGCAGGAGAATCTGCTGCTGAGGCCCCTATGCTGTAGGGGAGCCCAGGCCAGCCACACGGAGAGGTCGCACACGGTGACACGGCCAGCCAGTCCCGCTGTTCTAGCCACGCAATTGAGGCAGACATGCTGGATGTGTGTCCCCACTGAGCCTCCAGAAGAATCTGGGCGGGGGGGGCTGCCCGGCTGAGCCAGGCCATTACCCAGGGACGGGGACACGAGAGTAAATGGGTGTTTTACAGACAACAGATAACATGGGAGTCAATTCAAGGCCACATGGTCAGCCCAGGTGGCTACAGCTCCTGAGGCTACAGTTCAGAGAGCAGACGCCGGTGCGAGGCTCAGGTCCCCCACCCCACCACTTGTACCTGCCCCTGGGGAGGCAGTGGCCACTTTGGAGGGGGTCCTTGGGGTCCACACCCAAGGAAGTACGGGGCACTTCCGCAGCCAGGGAGGGGTGTCAGCGGGAAGGGACTCCTTGGAGGGACAGCCCCAGAGACTGGGACTGGCAGCTCCTCCCATGTGGGCAGGTGAACAGTCCGCCTGGCCCAGGTCAGCTCCCCCACCCCAGGGGCCTGGAGGGGACGGCCTGGCTCTGCCTAGATCCTGGTTCCTGTCCCTTCCCCACTCCTGCTCCTTTCCCCTGTCCCTTCCTCCGGAGCCTTCTCTCTCCCCAGCCATGAGCCTCCCTAGAGCACACTGTTTCGCCCCCGCCCGCCCAGTGACCCCGGCACACAGCTACCAATGTCCTCTCCGTCCCTCCTGTCCCTGGCTCCGCTAGGCAGCCCTGACCGCCGGTTTCTCTCTTCAGAGCACCGTCTTTCCTCCCCTGGGGCCTGCGCCCACCTCTGGACGACCCCATCCCGGGGATGTGGTCGATCCCGTGGAAGAGGCATCCGCTCGGCTCAGCACCCGCAGAACTGCACCTCCAAGAGCAACTCTCCCCTACGAAGACGTCCCAAGTCCTGGAGCATCGGCGATCGCCCCTCGGACCCGTCCCCTCCAGTCCTGCCCGCCCCGCACACTCGGCGAGTCCCCGCCAACCAGGGACCCATCTGCGCGAGGCCTCCCGCAGGGGCCACCTGCACGGGCGGCCCGCCCCGTCCCGGCTGGGGAGCCCGCCCCGTGCCGCCCCACCCCGCGCGCACTGGGCATGCCCAGAGCCGCGTCACGCGCCCGCCAGCTCGAGTCCGCCGCGGACCCTGCTGCGTCCGCCCCGGCCCGGGCTGCCCCGCGCGCGGCCATGGAGCGCATCGAAGGGGCAGCTGTGGGCCGCTGCGCAGCCTCCCCCTACCTGCGGCCGCTCACGCTGCACTACCGCCAGGTGAGGCCGCCCCTCGGGCGTCTTCCGCCCGCACTTCCCTCGGCCCGGAGCCCCGCCCACAGCCCTGATCCCGGGCCCGCCGCTCCTCCCACAGGCCCGGAGCCCCGCCCACAGCCCTGATCCCAGGCCCGCCGCTCCGCCCACAGGCCCAGCACCCCGCCCACATCCCGGAACCTCGCCGGGCTCCCGGGCTCTGCGAGTGGGTCCGGGTTCCCGGGCCGCGTGAGCGTCCGTGTCGGGATGGGGCCCCGGCAGGGACACCTCGGGGGGGGTCACTCATCCCTCCGAGGAGGCCATGCTGGGCTCCGGCCCCTCCTGCGATGGGACTGATTGGGCTCCCCAGGGATCAGGGAAAGCTTCCTGGAGGTGGTTGTCTCATTCTGGCGACAGGAGGCAGGAGCTGGAGCTGGGCGAGCACTGGAGAACCTCCCCAGGTGGGCGCCCTCCCCAGGGCACTACCGCCTTAGAGTCTCCACCTGCCCGACCCACAGGCTGCCTCCCAGGGAGCGGTCCTTCAGGGAGAACAGGACCGTGCTGTGTCCCCTGGCCCAGGCATGTGGTATTTTCACCAGGGGTGAACGAGTCTCCGCTGCCTCCCTCTGCCCTTATCCGGCCTCCTTCTCGCCGTGCACCTATCCACCATCCGCTCTGTCGGGTTCGCATCCCCACTTTTCGCTGGCAGCCTCACCTGCCTCCAAGCACGCTCCTAGCACGCTCCTCCTGCTGGATGAAGCCTGCACTTCTGCCCCGCTCAGGCAGGACAGGCAGGCAGTGGGGTGTTTGGGGCCCGGGACTTGCAGCACCCTGTGCCTCCTGTCCTCTCCCGGCCCCTTCCTCTCACCACCCCTGTGAGGCCCTCCTGGTTCCCAGCCTGAGAGAGGCCACTGCACCCCCACTTTCCCCAAGATGCACCCAGGTCGGCAGTGCCGGCCCGGGGCAGGATCCCTGACTGTGGCTGCATGGCCCCCAAGGGGCTGGGGCTCTGGGCAGCAGTAAGTGGGCACAGGGTGGGCCAGGCACATACCTGCTGGGCCGGTGGCTGTAGCACACCCCCACTTCCTGTGCAGGCCTGCGGCCTTAGTGGGCACCTGCCAGCTCGACCCCACGGATGGGTGACCAGCACTGAGCCATGCAGGGGCAGGCTGTGGTGGGCACAAGCTGCGGGGATAGGCCAGCGTTCTGTCAGGTTCCAGGGGACGCTGGGCTGGCAGTGCAGCCACCCTGCCAGGGGGGACCTGGTGGAGAGATAGACTGACCAGACTCAGGGTACCCCCATGGCTCTGAGCGGGGAGGGCTGTGTTTGCTCCAGTCCTGTCCCTCCCTCCCAGGCCCACAGAAGATGAGCCAGGCCTGGGACTATGAGCTGGTGGGCCCTGTGGGGGAAACTGACTGGGCCTCAGCAGGCCTCCCCGACCTTGCCCTGCACCCTGTATTGGCTGGACCTAAGGGCCTGACAGATGCTTTGATCTTGAAACGAGAGGATCTGTGAGAACTATACAGGTGACAGTTACCCAGAAGGAGGCAGGAGTACAGCAGACACTTGGCATACTGGGGCAGGCCTTCCTTGGAGCCTGCCCTGGGTGGGTGGCTGGCCTCAGGGTGGCCAGTTTGCAGGCAGGCCCGGGCTTGCCTTGGGGCAGTACCTGAGAACGGCCTCCCAGGCAGCCCAGCCTGCACACCACAAGACACCTGGCCTCCCTGCCCCTGGAAACCAAGGCTACCCTCCAGGACACTTGTGCCTCCTGGCCAAGTTCAGACCAATTTTCCCAACTACCCTCGGACCAGCATGTGGTCCTCTGCCTGTGAGGTCCCCCAGCCTAGAAGACCCTTCCCTCATTTCTGTGGGGCCTGACGAGGTGTCACCTCCTCCAGGAAGCCCTCACAAAGGCTTCCCTTAGCGTCCTTCTCTTCTGTAGCCCCGGCTGCACTTTCTATGTCTCTGGTGCTCGGATCCATGTCCATTTTGTGGCCTGGACAGACCCCACAGGTGGGGTCAGCAGTTCACCAGGTCCTCTGGGCTGACCCAGTGACTGAGGGGCTGGTGATGGGCAGGGCCCCAGGTTTAGCCCCATCCGCAGAGACCCCCTGGGGAGGGGGGGCAGGGCTGGGTAGAATGATCCCCGCACGCTCTGGCCTCCAGGATGGGAGCCCGCTTCCCCTAGTGGTGTCCAGTTGGCAAGCTTCTGGCCCCTCCTACCCCTGCCTGCCGGAACCCCAGTGGTGTCCATTCTCCCTGCCGCAGCGGTCTGGGCCCAGGCCCTTGCCCTGCACTGCCACTCATTCACGGAAAGCTGCCGTGAGCCCTGGAAACCCATCAGGGCACGGTGCCCTGAGGGGGGAGGCAGGGAGGCGGGGTCGGGGGGGAAGGGCAGGCAGCAGGACGGTGGAGGGAAGTGACAACAGCAGGACCACAGGATGTGCGCGAGACAGCCCAAGACAGAGACGGGGCTGGGGAAGGGGTCGTCCCACTGTCCAGTCACTGTCATTGAACCCCTGTGTCCTTCAGTGTGCTCTCCCACCTAGCTCGGCACCCCCTCCCCCGGCTGTTTCTGGGGCTGGTGTGCTCTCAGGAGGCAGGCCTTCCTCCTGTCCTCCTGTCTCCTTTGTCCAGTGGCCCAAGGGACCTCAGCAATGGAAACCTGGTCTCTGCTCTGCCCCCTTAGGACACCCCTTGCCCCGACTGTGAAGATACGGCGCGGCGGCCCCTCTGCCATGCCCGTGGTCCTTCCCACACTTGGTGACAGCGTATATCTGTGCAGCTCCTTGCTCTTAACCCGTGCTGGGTGGTGGCCATGCCTGCCGGGGCGCCTTTCCTTCCTTTGCCCGGCTTGTCTGTCTCACCCTCAGAGTATCAGGCCTCCTCGACCTCCCTGCCCAGCGCAGGCTGCTCCCCGTCCCCCACCTGCGGGGAGTCCTTGTATCTGATGGGCCCAGACTGGGTGTGGGCCTCCCTGGCGGGTCTGTTTGGCCAGCTCAACTCCCCGGAGCACCTCCACCCATGCTGGCAGCTACCCTGATTGTCACCCTCCCTCTTTCAGAATGGCACTCAGAAGTCGTGGGACTTCATGAAGACACATGACAGGTGAGGGCCCAGCCTGGGCCCCTCTGATGCCCATGGGGACCCTGGGGACCAGGGACATGGAGCCGCACCCTGCCTCTGCGCTCTGTGCCCGCCATACTCATCCCCACTCTCGCTTTCCCTTTACTGAGGGGCTACCCCAGGCAAAGCCCACCTAGGCCATGGCAGCAGGAGGTTTCTTAGACCTGTGAGAGGCCTCTGGGGGCCTCGCCCCTGAGCTTTGGCGTATGGGCTGCATAGTGACATGGTTCCAGGAGTGTGCCCAGCAGGCACGTGTCATGTCAGTCCCTCAGCCCCTGACTTGCCCAACTGTCCTTCCTCACGCCGTTGCCCATCCTGCCGGCTGCCATGGCGTGGGCCTGGCTTCTCGCCTGACCGTGTGGCCCTGCCTGGCCAGTCTCTCCAGCTGAGCAGGGGACCCAGTTTTCCTGGGCTGCTGGGGAGAGGAGGTGGGCCAGGCATGCCGGGAACGGGGCCCCCAAGGAGGTGAGGAGAGGGGGTTGCTTCTGTGCTGAGCTCTGTGCTGAGCTCTGTCCTCCCCCCCCCCCCCCCCCTGCAGTGTGACCATTCTCCTGTTCAACTCTTCGCAGAGGAGCCTGGTGTTGGTGAAGCAGTTCCGGCCTGGTGAGGTTGGCCAGAGCGGGGCATGGGGGAAGGGGGCTCCAGGGGAAACTGAGGCTCGGTGAGGGGGCTCTGGCCTATGGTGGGTCACATGGAGGTGGCCGCCACATGGCTGTGACTGTGCTCTGCCCCCCCCCCCAACCAGCTGTGTATGCCAACGAGGTGGAGCGCCACTTCCCAGGGTCCCTGGCAGCCGTGGACCAGGACAGGCCACAGGTGCTGCCAGGGGCACTGCCTGGCTCGGCGGGGGTGACGTATGAGCTGTGTGCCGGCCTTGTGGACCAGCCCGGGCTCTCGCTGGAGGAAGTGGCCTGCAGGGAGGCTTGGGAGGAGTGCGGCTACCACCTGGCCCCATCCGACTTGCGCCGGGTGGCCACCTACAAGTGAGTGGGGCCCCTGGCCTGCAAGGCTGGGAGAGGGCATGCTGCTGTCAGCGCCGCCCAGGGGCTGGGACAGGCCGCCTGGACGCAGGGAGCACCCCGTCCCCAGGGGTGTGCCAGCAGGGGGACTCCTCCTGCTTTCAACATGGGGCCGGGGGGAGGTGGGACGGAATGCGCCCAGATTGTGACCCCGGCCGGAACCCAGGGCTCTTGAAGCTGTGGGGAGCACGCTGGGCCCGTGCCCCCACCCTGCGGCCCATAGTCCTGTGGGGCAGGCTCTGGTGGCAGCTGCTGCTGACAGATGCCTCTACTTCCTGTGGGATTAAGCACCGGGCGCTGGGGGTGGGGGTGAGTCACAAATCTGCCCTGACAGTGGCTCAGGAATGAGGGAAAGGCTGAGCCCTGAGCTGGGAGGGGCCCCAGCGCTCCTGGGGAGGGGAGAGGGGTGTGGCCTGGGCCCACCAGAGCCCAGGTGCCCCCCGCTGCACCCTCCCACGAGGCCCGCAGCTGGGGCCATCTTTCCAGGACAGGAGGTTGGGGCGAAGCCCACCCTCTGCCCCAGGGATGCTGTGACAGGTCCCGAGGCCTCACAGAGCATGTACGGGGCCTTCCCCAGAGGGCAGGGCCTCTGTCCCCTTTCAGCCCAGTGCAGAGGCCACTCAGTGTTGGGTCCAGGGCCCCCCTAGTTCAGCAGCCCCCAGGGTCTCGTCGGGGTGTCCCCTGGCCTGGGGTTGGAGTTGACTCCCAGTCCTAGGAAAAATATGAGCCAGAGGACTCTCTGTGTTAAATGTGGGATTTCCATGCCCAAAGTTTGGCCATCCTGGTGTGAAGGGCCTCAGTGTTCTGCAGGAGTCCTCCATGTGGCAGCCGGTGGCTCCTTAGTCCCTGAGCCTGCGGAGGATGCAGAGACTCAAGGGCCTGCCCTGGGGTAGGGGTTGGGCCATTGGGTGGGCTGGGGGCAGGTGAAGAGGGGCTGCCCCCCAAGAGGTGAGCCTGCTGGAGTCCTTGCAGAGGGGCTGCTCGGCAGAGGCGCTGGACGAGGGGGCCAGCAGCGTGGCCACACTGGCTCCACAGACAAGGCCTCGGCTATGGCCTGATCCCGAGGGGGCCGGGGAGGCAAGAAGCGCTGTGAGCGGCGAGCAGCCTGCTCAGACTTGCGTTTGGGGTTGAGGGGCGGCTGTAGGGAGGCTGGAGTGGAGATCAGGGCAGCTGTCCCTGAAAGCCTGTCTGGGCTGGACAGACAGCAGAGCTCATGCTGCCTGTGCGAGGGTCCATGGCTTCCTCTCCATGGCCCCAGTCACAGGTGACAAGGCCCAGGCTAAGGACGCGATTGAGTGAGGCGGGAGTGGCAGTGCCCAGCCTGGCCCGGCACAGCCTTCTTGGGCTGGGCCAAAGGTCATGCCGTCGCCTTCACAAGCCTGCGGAAACTGGGACTGGAAACCCCACAGACGGCGCTTCCATCAAAGGTGCAGGCCTTGACCGCAGCGGAAACGGGCCATCAGGAAGGGTCTGAGGGAGATAAGGGGCTGGAGGGGGAGGAAGCAGCTGGGCGAGGTCAGTCTGAGTGGGGGGCCCCCTACTGGGGGTGGGGAGTGGAAGCCCCTCATTCTGCTCCCTGCCCTGCGTGCTGGGCACATGTCCAAGGGCAGCCTCCGCTGTGCAGGCCTCCGGCCGGCCTCAGCTAACATGGGCTGACCAAGGACTCCCGTATTCCCTGGTCATCTCCTCGGATGCCCCCCGATTCCCTCCTACCCTGCACACCTTGCCTGCCCCTTCCTCCCCTGTGTGGGATCCACCACCCCGTCCTCTTAACTACCGTATTTGCCGGCGTATAAGACGACTGGGCGTATAAGACGACCCCCTAACATTTCCACTCAAAATACAGAGTTTGTTATATACTCGCCGTATAAGACTACCCCCTCTTCCGCACACCTTCCACACACCAAATAAAAGGTAAAACAATATCAGATTTGATTTCAACATTTTAATTTATATTCAAATGCTTATGACATGCAGGAAAACTGTCACAAGGCTGTATGTAATCAAACATATACATAAAACAGTGCAAGTTTATTACCGGTAAACATACCGGTAATTCACTAAAGAAAACACACTCTATAGACTGGTACCGTAGATTTTGCGAGTGTGGTAAAATCACATAACAGCAAAATCGCATAACAGCCGAGCATACACCCAGCAGCGCTGCTGATGCCTGAACGGTATGTGGAATGAAGTGGGGGGCATCGGGAGGCCACTATGGCACGGGGCAAGCACTATGGGCAGTCTATCTGAAGTGTACCTGGCGTATAAGACGACCCCCCACTTGGAGGCATATTTTTCAGGGCCAAAAAATCGTCTTATACGCCGGCAAATATGGTAGCATTCACCACGGCTTCCCACTCTTCCCCTCCACCAGCATCAGTCTGGGCCACTGCCCTCTGCCCGGGTGCCTGGGTGCCTCCTGGTGGCCAGCACCCCCTCTGGCCATCACCCACTGACAAGGGAGCTGTCTCACACTTCAGCCGAGGACCAGTGGGCCTGGTCTTGGGGACCATGCCGCCACCCCATCCAACCCCTACCTGAGCCCTGGTCTCTTGCCTGGGCACCGGCTGTCCCCAGCCTGGCATCCTGCAAGCGGCAGCGTAGGGAGCTATCACAGGCCCAGGCTGTGCAGGCTGCCAGCATGTCCCCACTTGCAGCCAGCCTGGAGCCCTGGGTGCCTGGGGGGGACTGTGGGTTGAGGCCACCGTGGGGTAGGAGGCCCTGGCTGAGGGCCCTGGGTAAGCAAGGGGGCAGGGAGGGGCCTGCACCAGGGTCTGCTGCACACACCCTGCCGGACACTGATTGGCTCCAGCCTCCCACAGCCTCACGGTTGCGGTGGGTCAGCAGTCTGCTTCCAGGGGAACTGGGCCCACCACTCAGGGTCTCTCCAGGCTGCAGTCAGGGCGTCTGGGGCTCAGGGTCCTCATGCACTCCAGCTCCTGGGGCTGTGTGACTGAGGGCCCTGTTTCTTGGCTGGCTTTGGTCGGGACCATGGTCAGCTCCTCCGGGCGGCCCACAGTCCCTGGCCACATGGTCCCTCACAGGGTGGAGCTTGTTCTGTCTTAAAGGCCAGCCTGTCCACAGGTGGGGCGCATCCTGGGGTCCTGCCCGCCAGAGGGCTGGAATGCGCAGAGCGGAGAGGGCTGTGGGGGAGCCTGGAGTGGCTGGCGGGGCCTACACGGTGGCTCACCAGATGCTGTCTCAACCCACAGGTCTGGCGTAGGAGTGACCGGCTCCAGCCAGACCATGTTCTATGCAGAGGTGACAGATGCCCACCGGAGTGGCCCGGGTGGAGGCCTGGCTGAGGAGGGGGAGCTCATCGAGGTCGTGCACCTGCCCCTGGATGGTGCCCAGGCCTTCGCCGACAACCTGGATATTCCCAAGACCCTCGGTGTCATCTTTGGTGTCTCATGGTTCCTCAGCTCCATGGCCCCTGGCCTGGGTCCCCAGTGAGACTCCAGAGGGTCTGGACAGAGGCCGGCCCTGGTCACCCATCCTGCAGACCCAATAAAGGCTTCTGTAGCTTCAGCCTGTGTACTGACTCCGAGCTGTGACCAGCATGGGCGGTGGGAGGCGGCAGAAGCCCGCAGCTGTGGCTGTGCCACCCCTCGGAGCAGGAGCAGTGGGGATGGGCCCGACCAAGCGAAGTGCTTGGGGGACCTGGGGATGGACCCACAGGGCATCAGGCCACAGAGTGAGCTAGGGCTACTGGGGTGGCGGCTGAGCCAACCTCTGGCAGGAGGGGGTGTGGACAGAACCACAGGCTGCACATCCCAGAGGGTGCACGCTCCCTGCCCCTGGTGAAGTGAGGTCCCCACCCTGACGTCTGGGCTGGTGCCCCCGGGGTCTGCGGTACAGTCTCCTTGTTCTGCACCCTGTGTATGTGGCTCTGAATCCTCTACCTGTCATGGGGGTCAGGCTGCCCTCCATCAGCCTTGAACGCTTGGGGTCACAGGAGGGCGAGGCTCAGCCAGGCACCCCGTAAGGCTCCATATGCAGCGGGCAGGCTGGAGCTCACTTAGGGGAGTGTGTGCTGGTCACCATGGTCATGGGCACCACTCAGGGATGGGAGCCCAACCTGACCCTTTCTGAGGGTGGTGACCTCGGGGATGGGTTGGGGGCAGCCTGGGGAGGGCAAAGTATCCAGGGGGTGCTGCCCACACAGGCAGGTGGGGACTGTTAGCCAGAGTGGCCAGGGGCTTTTACGTGATCTGAGCTTAGTGCTGTGTGCCCCAATGCCCCCCAGGACTGGGCTCTGGGCTGCAAAGGCAGAGGACATGGAGGCAGGACTGCTGCCTCTGACTCCTGCTGAGACCCCATCGTCAGATGGGGCCACCTCCTAAGGGCGACGTCTGCCACCCTCCAGTGCTCCCAAGGCTGACCTCAGGCTGACCCCAGGCAGGCAGGTAGGCAGGTGCTTTCTGTGAGCATGCATGGAGAGGCACCCAGGTCCCTCCCTTCCTGCTGGCCCTGGAAATGCTTGTGGCCGAGTCCAGCCAGAGCGGTACAGTGCACACAGCCCCTGGGCCTGGTATTCAAGGCTGCCCTGAGGAGGCTGTGCCCAAGTGACCCACCCAAGCAGCATCACCTGTATGCAAATGCAGGCTGCAGCCCAGGTGGGGCACCCTGGGAGCCCAGCCAGGTGTGTGCCATGCTGCTGGGAAGGGGCCCTCGGGCAAGCGGTGTGTGTCCAAGGGGCCCTCCAGGATGCGCCACGGTGGGGCCCAGCTCCACCCTGTCCAGAGGAGGCCCCAGCAGGCTGCCCCGGGCCCCATTCATCTGAGAATGATGCCCGGGGCAGGCGCCACCCCACCCACTGGCCTCCCTTGCAGCCTGCCTGATGCCCAGTCCTAGAGCTCCACTGGCCCTCTAGCCCAGACTGACGGGTACTGGGTGGGGCTGGGGGCTCTCTGTACCCTGGGGAGTGTGCCAGGCTCCAGACTGGCGGGGTAGGGGTGGGGGACAGGGTCCCCGGGCTTGGGTGCAGTCCAGCCCCCTCACTCTGCTCTGGCAGGTCAGCAGGCACCGCTGCTGAGCCTAATGGAACTGGCATCGATTTCCCGGCACTGGGGGGGCTGTAACCGGAAACTCCCCTCCCTGGCCGCTATATTTAGCAGTGCAGAACACGGGCGGAAGCATAGCTCACTCCTGAGCCCAGCCGGCTCTGTCCAAACCTCAGGCAGGCTGCGCCCCAGCCTGGTCCTGAATCCCCCTGGGCCACGCTGTGTGGTCAGCAACCCACCCGTGCCGTGTTCAGCAGAAGCTGAGCACCCACCTCAGGGCATGCCAGGAGAGCCCCTTGTTCTGGGGGACTCAGAGTGGCAGCCCCCAACCTAGGGGGCGGGTAGAACTGGGAGATGGGCGTTGTGGCCCAGTGGGCCCCAGAACAATGACGGGGGCCTTCCTGGAAGAGGCAGGATAGGCTGGCGGGACAAGGATGGAGGCAGGAGCTCTGACCCCCACTGGATCTCCAGCCCTCTGGCCCAAGTCTGCAGAAACCCCAGCAGGGGGCACCCCAGGAGGAAAGGGTCCTTGTCTCCCAGCAGCCCTTCAATGCCCATCCCGCCCCTGAAGTGGCCGCCTTCCTAACTTGAACCTCTCCTGGGCACCATTAGGTGCAGGCAGGAGAGGAAAGGGGATGGTGTGCAGGAGGGGGCTTCTGTGCCCTGCAGGGTGGCACCCTAGGCAGGGAGGCAGGGAGCCTGCCCCACAGAGAGGCGTCCTGTGTCTGCTGACCCTGGGTACTGCCCTGATGCGCGCCCAGGTGTCCTTGCCAAGGGGACCCAGGTCTCGCTCCCAAAGGACCTGGAGGGAGGCAGGTGGGCCAGGCCCCTGTCTCTAGCTTTGCAGGACAGGTGGAGGCTCTCAGTACCCGGAGGCAGGCAGGCCCCAGGGAGGCTGCGTCCCCTGACAGGTTGCGCTGGAATCTTGAGATGTACGGAGGTCTGTCACTGGTGCCTCCTAGCAGAGAACACCTCAGCTGGAACACAGTAGCTCTGGACGGGGCAGCACAGCAAGCCCTTTGGGCAGCCTGGGCGCTTTCCTCCCACAGTGGGCCGTGAGCAGGAAGCTCCGGAGGTGGGCGAGGGAGGGGCCCGGGGGGGCTGTTCTTCTACACTGGAATTCCCCCATCCTCAGGCGCTCCACTTCGGGCCCCAGCTGGCCACCGGCCCCTCTGCCTTGCGCTGTGGTAGTGGCCTCTCGTGGCCTCCCTGCCCCTCCCCCGCAACCAGGGATCTTTGTGAAAATGTAAGTCACAAACGTGGAGCCCAACCCAGCCCAGCTGCTTTCTGTGACTTCCCGTTGGTCTCAGCAGGAAGACTCTAGTTGGGGAGGCCCAGCTCAGCCTGGTGCTCCCCCCCCCACTCCCCCCCAGCCTCACCTATGCTCCTCACCCCCTCTGCCTTGGCCACGGTGTCTCTTGCAGGCCCTCACTGGGGCCAGGCTCCCTTGGCCTGAGGGACTTCGCATGTGCAACCCCAGCTGCTCACCTGGCTGAACTTTGCCTGCCCTCTGTCTCAGCAGCCCCCTCCCTGGTTTTTGTTCGTAGCTCTATGTTATTTATCTAAGTCCTCTGTCCACCCCTGACCAGGATGGGCAGGGGCCGTCTGCCATGTTCACTGCTTGATTGAGTGTGGTGCAGTCGGCGTGGGCAAGGTTGGAGCCCTGGACCTCTGGAACTGAGGGGCTCCTCTCTCCTCCTGGGGCCTCGAGTACCTGGGTACCTTGAGCACCACCCCAGGTCTGCACAGTGAACCCCCTGCCCCTGCAGGACGAAAGTAGGGCCCTGAACACAGCTCAGAGGTCCTTATTTGGTGGGGGCTCTTGTGTGTGCAGGTACCTGGCTTGTGTCCTGCCCATTCCCAGCCTACAGTGCGCGCAGGTACCAGGAGCCAGTGGAATGAGCAGAGCCAGGCCCATCCCTTCAGAGGCCCCTAGCTGTTCCTGGACCCTGGAGGAGGCTGTGAAACTGGGGGTGGGGGAGGGGGATGGCATTCATTCCCAGTGCATTGGCCCCTTGGGCAGCGCCTCCCACACACCCTAGCGGTAGAGGGCAATGTCTGTACTCCTGAGTTCCTTCTGCCATGCCCCCAGCCCCTGAACCAGCGTCCCCCCTTCAACCAAATGTGGCAGTGACTAGCTCCAGGCAGGGGCCTGTGCTCCCAGCACCCAGCCCAGGGCCAGGGCAAATTTGCTGGAGGAGACAGGGGCGAGAAGATGGCCCAGTTATTGGGGGGATGGGGCCAGAAGACCCCTGTGGAACATACGTGATCCTCAACCGCCAAGGCGATCAGCAGCTTGGTGGAGGGGAGGTACTGACTACGTGGAGGTGGGGCAACATGGTGGGACATGGGGGCTTGGTGATCAGGACAGCAGGAGGATACTCTTTGGGTGGCCGTCACCTTGTCCTTTTGGGCACGCAGCACCGTCCTTTATTGCCCCCGCCCAAGCCCGGACCCCAGCCTCGGCGTTCCTCGAGAGTGTGGCCTGGCGACCTCTGCGCTAGCGCGAGGCTGGGCACACAGGCTGCGCCTGGGAGCATTTGTTGCCTGGCTGCCCAACCCGCGAGCTGAGTGGCGGGGAGCAGCGCCCCCTGCGGCCGGCGCGGAGGGGGAGCCTCCCTTGGGAAGGGGGCCGCGCCCTGATTTGTGCAGGAGGCGGCATGTGTCCTCCGGGACTGCGAGGAGCGAGGCAGCGGCGTACTGATGGGAGGGGACCGTGGCGGTGACTTCAGGGGGCGCCCCACCCCCTGGCTTCTGACACCCAGCAGGGCTCGTGCTCGGCATTGGCGTCGGCTAAGCCCACGCAGTCCCGGCGCCCCGGGAAGCGCGCGCCGGGCCGGGCGCTGGCGGGAGGCGCCGTCGGCCGCCTTTAAAGCCGGGGCGCCCCCGGCCCCCGGCCCCACCCCGCGGCGCGGCCCCGCCCCCTCATGCATATGCAGGTGCGCGGGTGACGAATGGGCGAGCGAGCTGTCAGTCTCGTCCCGAACTTGCTAGCTGCGGGCGCCGGGAACGCGGGCGCGCAGAG